AAAATCCAGCAGTAAATGGTGTCCATTCGGAAGAAAGGATACCCAGAACTGTGGGGACTTTCTACCCAAGAACCAGGAGTGGTAGAATGGAAAACCAGATGACAGGTGGTACCTCTACAGTCTATTTATTTATTTTTTGTGAGGGGAGGGGAGGATCCATGCACTCAATAAATAAGACTTATTTTTTCATTGTTAAAGGGTTGCTATTAAACGTGGGTGGGGGTGGGGCTTAAATTGGTTGAACTCTGCCAATGAGTTAAGGAAAACTGAAATAGGCTTTTGCAGGTGACTGAAATTAGCCAAATGCAACAGGATCCAATCTACTTTCCCGTTTTAGCTTCCTTCGTAACAGTCATTTAATGTTCAGGCTGGATCACTGGACAGGAAGATCCAGAGGACCCCTGTTTGTCGTACACCCCACGGTCATAATGTCCTCCCCACTTCGACTCCAAGGGCGAAAGCCTTCCCACTGCAAAAGATAATGCAAACAACAAGATCCCCTCAAGCAGACGTGATCTCTACCTGCCTCAAACGCCAACCAATGTATTTGCCTTTACAATGTGCTCTGCCTCATAGTTATTTGCACACTATGCATACTATCTCCCATAGTAAACCTTGGACACGTTATTCATCTTGTTCAAAGCAGACAAATGATGCTTTTAACTTTATCATTATTTTCCTACAAAAGGAAAATAATCTGAGCGGGAAGAAAACACAAACATGTAAGGCACAGGCAAGGCATCGGACATACAAGCCTTGGGACAGTCCGATCAAGGCAAACGCATCAGACCCTGCTTTCCGCTTCGAACGTGAGACACGAGGAACTTTTTTAACCCTGAGTGCCACTCGCCTCCCCTGGACCGGGACAGTCGGCATGAGGCGTGGAGTTGCCCCCGTTGCCCAACCTGGCTGGGCGCTCCGCGCTTCCCCTTTCTCCGGCTCCACTGGTCAGGACGGCCAATCCCGGCCCGCGGCACCTGCGCCCTCAGACATCTCCGAGAAATCAGCACTTCCGGACCGAGGCTCCGAAGGTCTCTCTTCCACCCGACCGCACGCTGCGCCCCGAACCCGAGAAACCGGCAGCCCCTCTTTACTTGCCACACGGGGTTCCAGCGTCCCCGCCCTGCCGCGCCCCGCTCCCCATCCTCCAGGACGCCGGCTCCGCGGCCGGGACGGCGACAAAGGGCCGGCCGAGACTGCGGCCGCCCGTGTCGACACTGGATGAGGGGCGCCTTCCTCTCTCCCGGGACTCCCCATCACGCACCTACTTCCTCCTCGCCGCCGCCTCCTACGACCGCCCGCAGCCGAGGCTCCTTAGCGAGCAGCGCCTGTTTTGTTTCCGATGTGAAATCTCGGCCTCAGGAGCTGCCCGGCCCAGGCCCCGCCCAAAAGGCTTCACCGCTGTCGTCACTTCCGGTTCTGGCGTCGTTGGGGGCTGGCCCGCAGGCGAAGGGGTGGGCTCTAGAGGGGGCAGGGACGAGACCAAAGGGGTGGGGCTTCCGGTGGTGTGGGCGCGGATTGTCGGAGTCGGGGAAGCTTGCGCTCTAGCGGGTCTGGGACCTGGGCGAACTCGCCTGGAGTGCCGGCTTGAGTGGAGGTAGTCTAGGATCCCAGACAGGTCGTGAGCCGGGCCAAAGTTTCTGCGTATACTGACTGGGCCCAGTGTGTGTTCTCCAAGCCAACGAGTTATGGCATCTTAAGCCGAAAGTTTCTTTCATTCTCTGTATTACCTAGGCTAGGGTGTCTCTCAATGTGAATCAGCTGCACCAGTCAAGAGGATGCTAATTAAAATTGTAAATGCTTGTGCCTTCTCTTTCCTCGTTGAATCAAAACTTCTGATGGGTGAAGCAAGCCTGAGAAACCTCATTTTAAACAAATGTCTGGGATTCTCGGGATCCAAGTTAAGAACGAGTCTTCCTAAATGGTAAGCTTCCAGAAAGCAGGAAATGGCTTATTTTTGTAATCCCGAAACCTAAGAGTATCTGGCACACAATGAGTTGCTCAAAGGTCAGCTACCGCTAATGTGTGATGTGGCAGACTTGGGAGTGGTCTTTAATTCAAACAACATGGCTTGAGAATGTTTAGTCATTTTTGTTTATAGAAATTACTAGAGGCCTGATGCAAGAAATTCATGCAAGGGGGTTGGCCCTCACAGCCCCCTGGCTTGGTCCCAAAGGTCGGCCACCCGGTCTAATTAGCATATTACGCTTTTATTATTACAGATCTTTCCTTACTGGGCATTTTAGATTGCAAATTTCTAATTTGGCCTTTATGAGTCAAGTAATAAAATGAAAAGTGAATATCTGTTAAAGATGAAAATACAAGCATTCAAATGCAAATAAATATTTCAATAATTTAACGTTTTTAAAAATCTACCCATTTATCAATAATTATAAGCTCACTTTGGTCTAAAGTATGAAAATAACAGTTCCTGCGTTTGAAATACATATACAGTGGGGCTTTGACTTACGAGTTTAATTTGTTCTGTGACGGAGCTCATTAACTCAAATTACTCTGTCAACTCAAAGCAAAAAATCGGCTGAGAGACAGCTAGTATGTCGGAAAAACTCGTTAGGACACTCGTAAGTCAAGGCCCCACTGTATCTGAATTCCGTTTTCTTGTCATCTAGACTGTTTCTTTGCCTATTTAGGATTCCTTCTCATATCCTTTATATCCAGTAGTACTCACAAATCAATTTCACCATTTATTGCTAAGCAAAAGCTATCTCTCAACTCTATACTATTAATAGAATGCTAAAATATGACCAGGAAAAATTTTGACATAAAACCTTTCAGCAGTTTCTGCATAGATGTGAAAACATTTATAGAACTCATTAGAAAGAACCGGGTAAATAAGCCTCATATACACATTAGTATACCTACCTGGCTTACACTTACTTGCATTAAAAAAAACTTATACTCCATATGAAAGAAGAAAAAAATAAGTTTAGTATGCTTTGACTTTCAGAGTTTCCTCACTTGAGGGTGTGCCTGATGAGTACCTGAAACAGCACTCTCCACTACGTAATCATTAGCCTCTACTATTACATAGTTTATCAGAAAGCACTATGACAAGATTCAAATTAACAACATAAAGTTCTCTGAGGAGGAAATGTTCTGGGACTGGCTAGGAATAAAGCCTATTAGAATTGTTCTCAGCCAACATTTTTGCAAGAGATTACTTTACATTCATGAACATACAGAATAGGTATGTTGATTTGCCTCAAAAATGTTTTCCTTTTTAAAAATCTACTTAAAAAGCCCTTGCTGGTTTGGCTCACTGTATAGAGCGTCAACCTGCATACTGAAGGGTCCCAGGTTCAATTCCAGCCAAGGGCACAGGTCCGGGTTGTGGGCTCCATCCCCAGTAGCATACAGGAGGCAGTTAATCAATGATTCTCTCATCACTGACGTTTCTCTCTTTTCCTCTCCCTTCCTCTAAAATTAATAACAATATCTTAAAATGTACTTAAAAAGAAAATAAAGCTGCATTTATGTAGTGTTAGGATAAAATACTGGTACTGAGTAGATACCTTAAACTGCTAATGAAAGTGTAGTCCTTGGATGATTTAGCATTCACATCATCGACTTCAGGCCCCACCCTACTACTAAGTCAGAGTCTGCACTTTAACAAGATTCCTCCAAGAGATAGTTTGATCTTATAAAAAGTCAGCCCTGGCTAGTGTGGCTCATTTGGTTGAATAATGTCCTGTACACCAAAAGGTTGCAAGTTCGATTCTGGTCAGGACACAAGCCCAGGTTGCAGGTTTGGTCCCTGGTCAGGGTGTGTACCAGAGGCAACCAATTGATGTGTCTCCCTCTCTCCTCCCTTCCTCTCTCTAAAAGAAAAACAATAAAAGTACATTTTAAAAAAACTTAAAATAACGTTTCCTCCTATAAATAGACATACATGTTTTAAATTATTTTATCTATATGGTCAAATGAGGAAAAAGCATGTTGGTTTTTTAACTGCCTTTTTAAAAAATACTTTTTATTGATTTTAGAGAGGGAGAGGGAGAGATAGAAACATCAACGATGAGAGAGAATCATTGATCAGCTGCCTCCTGCACGCCCCCTACTGGGGATCTAACCCACAACCCAGGCATGTGCCCTTGGCTGGAATCGTACCTGGGACCACTCAGTCCCCAGGCTGACACTCTTATCCACTGAGCCAAACCGGCCAGGGCTTAACTGCCATTTTTATACCTGGAATGGGCAATATGAATCAAGCAAGGTTTCCAAACTGAAATTCAATTATGGGCAAATGGTAAAGACCCAGAAAGCTCAAGCAATTTAGTAGAAATTTTATGTGTATTCTCCCAAACACTTGAATACCCCAGCAGTTTATACATGTCCAATTCTTTACATGTAAATCTGAAAAACTTAAAGTTCAAGCTCGGTGGCAAAACCTGACTCAACTGACAGTAAGCTATTAATGTAATGATCTTTAACCTAGTGACTGTGATCATTCCTGCTCTGCTGCAGAAATGTTAATGTATGAACTTGGATTCTGAGGCAAATCTCTCTGGAGTTGTTATGCAGTACATGGTATGTGTCCCCAAGGGTTTCAGATATGGGCCTTTTAAGATAAATATAGTGAAAGAGCAAGAGCAAAAGAAATTAATACCAATGTTGACTAAATAAAACAGCCAATATGATGCCTTAGAAGTGGTAATATGGCAAGAGAAAATAGGCATAATGAAGCTCAAACAAGATGTTAGGCTTAGGGTCAATCTGAGAAAAAGCTAGTAAATGAATTTGTAAATTTCATGTTTCTGAAATTTTCCTTGAGAAACCAGAATTTAAAGTATTATAACACTAAAAGGGGATATCTCCATAGATATTTAGATTAATCCAAAATAAGGTAAATGGTCTCTTTGACCTTTAGTTACTAGTAATACTCAAAGAAATCAATTCAGCCCATAATTTCAAGTTTCTAATATGCACCGCACAATTACATGTCACTTACTTAATAAGACTGAAAGAATGAGTCCCCGAGATCAAATATATACATTTTTAATATCTGAAATATTTACATAAGGGAACCATGTCATGGTTCAATGTTAAGAACAGTGTTTTCAAATGTCCTCTTAAGATGTAAAAAAAAAATCTAGTAACTCAAGCTCAGTTAGGCTTTATCTTCCTATTCCCAATCTTCATCTTTAAATAAATACTTAGACATGAAATAGCTGCACCTACTTTGTATTTAGAACTGTTTAAAACTTGTTGTATTTTCGATTAATTTTGCTCCCTGGTGAAGTTCTGATGTACAATAAAGAAAGCCCCATGTGTGTCTCCAACACCATCAATGTATTTTTAAACTTTGATGAGCAGAGGTAAACAAGGTGTGTGCTTACACACAGACAAGCTATAAAGCCTTTACAAAACAAAAAATTAGTGGTAACTGCCTTAAATGATGTACTTTATCCTTAAAAATAAGATGTAAACTTTTACAAAATGCCATGCTGAAATTCTATTGTATTTTGTCAAACTTTCCTAGTCTGTAAAATTGCCTAATTTTATCTTTTGTTTTTAAAAAGTATTTTTCATTTATGCTTTTTATTTTTTTTAAGCAAAGGGGCACACCAAAATTAAACTAAGGACCAATCAGTGCAATCTAAGGATCTGCCTCATTTCTGAACAATGAGATTGGGGGGAGAGAGGGGAACCACTGATTCACACTTCCATAAAAGAAGGGCTGAAGCAGCCAGCTATCAACAGGAAAACCCCATTCTGTTCAACAGACTGTTTCTTGCCGTAAGAGAGTAACATGCTCTGGGAGACTATTAACCTAATTATCCCAGACATTTGGATTGGCACAATACCATGTTTCCTTTACAATTATATTTTTCAATTAGAAAATGTTCAAGGGAGCCCTCCAAAGCAAATTAGGGAAAATACTTTTATATATACATTCACACAAACACATTCATACAGAGATACAGTAGGAATGGATGGTCTCCTAATTTTCACACTCTAATTTTAAATTTCATGCCTTCATGAAAGCCTGCCAATTCTGATCAAGGGGGTATGGGTAATAGATGTGGGCTGGTATTCTTTCTATTAAAATTGTTCATGTTGGTTCCTGTACAGTACAGTTCAATATTAAGTGCAATTCTGCAAAAGAATCGGGGAGTCATTTTAATATTTACAAGGAACAAATCAGCAGAACAAGATTATATCAGATAGGCTGTGTACAGTAGCTGTGGCTTATAAAACATACCAGTAATTTGTACCTGGTGAGTATAAAGAGAACCAAGGTAGGATTCGGATGTCTTTACAACCAAGGGAGTACACAGGGCATCAACAAATTGGAGGACAAAAAAAAAAAAAATTCACATTTTCTACATTTAAAAAAAATTACAGATCTCACAAATGTCTTTGAAGACAAAAAAATTTTTCAAAGTCCTTTGAAGGATGGGAAAGACGATAGCTGAAATGGAACTCTCAATGTACAGAGTTTTACTTCACAAGACCAATTTTCTTGGCTTCTGTTTCATATATCAATAATCTCCACATTTTGACTATAAAAACTTCTGCTTCTTCATCAAGTACCTAGGAGAAAAAAATAAAGAGCAACATATGTAAGATAAGCAATCAGCAACTCCCAACAATAGCGACTGCTATAAAAAGGGCTTTTACCCACTGACAAGCATTTACTTTCAATAAAATGACAAAGGAAATCTGTCTAGTGTGAGAAATGTAAATTACAAAAATGCATTCAGCAAACTTCCATGGCTTACTAAATACTGACACCACAGTATTTTCTTGGTGCAACTTTTATTCTAACTTTTATCTTTACAAATAGTATATTTAGGCATGTTTTGAAAAACTATATCCTAAGGGAAGCAAATGTTTTTTTTATAACAAATACAGTAATTTAGGCAGAACTAGTTGTACAACTACTTAATAACTTTAATACAGAGTATCACATTTACCACCCCCCCAAAACAACCTTAGCATCTTAATATTTATGGAGCCCTTATGTATGTGACATTGAATTAAATATTAAATGAGAATATATGTAAGGTATTTAATACAGTGTCTGAGATACAATAAACAGGAAGTGAAAATTGTCATCATTACAAAGGAACACAAGACTAGTGAATAAATTAAAGGTCATATCCCCTTGACAAATAAACAAATCAAATTATCTTCTTATCTACATGAGTTAGGTGCACCATGTCCTCCTCAGTACCCCTGCCCTCATCCCACACATGTAGTCAGTCAGTCAGTCAGTCAGTCCTCCACACCAGAGCTGTAGTGAGGTAAAATGGAATATCATGCTTCCTGCTACAGGAGGCAGCTGTGACTAAGCTTCAGGGTGTCACTGCCATGGTTTGTAGAATAATGTTACTAGTTTAGATTAGGAATTAAGCAAAACGGACCTCTAGTCAGACTACTTGGATTCCAATCCCACTTCTACCTTTTACTAAAGAACCTCTGTTCTCTCATCTGTGAAACGAAGAAAACAGTAGCTACATCACACTGATTCATAATTTAAAATTCTATTATGTACAAAGTGCTTTGAAGAATGCCTAATATCTAAAGTGATCAGTAACTGCTTAAGAGTAGCCAGAAATTTTGATGTTTGAAAAATTTCCCTAAATTTACTAATGATGACAAACTTTTATTCAAACTTTTATGAGCCAGACTTGACCAGCAGTTCAAGAAAACTATGCTACAACCCTAATTATTATGGAAATCGTACCTTGGAAATACAGGAATCATACTTTGGAAATACAGATAGAGGCACAAAATGCAACCAAAGTTCATTAATTTATGTAAAACGAAGAAAGGCAGTTTGAAAAAGTCCTATTTTTAATAAGAAAAAAATACTACTTGAGCTAAAAATTGAATCTCATTTATACAAGAAATAGAAGGAACCATGAGGTTTCAAAAAACTGGTTGGCAACACTAGTTGATTGGTTTCCTTCCTCCCACTGTGATCAACAATGAACCAGAAAATAATCAAACCATATAAATGATTAACTATCAAAGAGTCTAACTCGACCTAGTCAGTTTGGTTCAGTGGATAGTGTCGGCCTGTGGACTTGAGGGTCCTGGGTTCAATTCAGATCAAGGGCATGTACCATGCTTGCAGCTCAATCCCCGGCCCCACTTGGGCATGTGTGGGAGACAACTAATCCAAGTGTCTCTCTCACATCAATGTGTGTCTCTCTTGTCTCTCCCCCTCCCTTTCTACTACCTCTAAAAATAAATGGAAAAATATCCTCAGCTGAGAATTACCACACACACCCCCACCAAAAAAAGAGTCTAACATCATACTTCAAATATTAAAATGAATTAACACTGACACATGGCATTTTCACTGACAAGTGGTTACAACTCTACCAAGAACAAAAACTAGAACACTGCCCGACTGGTGTGGCTCAGTGGTTGAGTATCAACCTATAAACCAGGAGGTCACAGCTCAATTCCTGGTCAGGGCACATGCCCAGATTGCTGACTCAATCCCCAGTGTGGGGAACACAGGAGGCAACTAATCAACGACTCTTACTCATCATTGAGGTTTCTAAACTCTCTCTTCCTCTCTGAAATCAATAAAAATATATTTAAAACAAACAAACAAAAACCCAACAAACCAATAAAAATATATTTAAAAAAAAACATCCCTCGCCCTAACAGGTTTGGCTCAGTATATAGAGCATCGGCCTGTGGACTGAGGGGTCCCGGGTTCAATTCCGGTCAAGGGCATGTACCTTGGTTGCAGGCACATCCCCAGTAAGGGGTGTGCAGGAGGCAGCTGATCGATGTTTCTCTCTCACTGATATTTCTAACTCTCTATCCCTCTCTCTTCCACTCTTTAAAAAATCAATAAAATATATTAAAAAAGAAAAATCCCTCTGCCCTGGCCAGGTGACTGAGTAGGTTGGAGCATCATCCTGTATACCTAAACATTACGGGTTCGATTCCTGGACAGGGCACACTTAGGTTGTGGGTTTAATACTGAGTTAAGGCGTACATGGAAGGCATATGTGGAAGTCATCCAATCGTCGTTTCTCTCTCACATAAATGTTTCTCACCCCCTTAAAAAAAAAATCAATAAAAACGTGTCCTCGTGCCCTAACCAGTTTGGCTCAGTGGATAGAGCGTCAGCCTGCGGTCTGAAAGGTCCCAGGTTTGATTCCGGTCAAGGGCATGTACCTTGGTTGCAGGCACATCCCCAGTAGAGGGTGTGCAAGAGGCAGCTGATGGATGTTTCTCTCTCATCGATGTTTCTAAGTCTCTATGCCTCTCCCTTCTTCTGTGTAAAAAAAATCAATAAAATGTATTTTTTTTAAAAAAGTGTCCTCAGGTAAGGATTTAAGGGGGGGAAAAATTACATCACTCTGCCCCAGAAAATCTGTCCCATTGCCATATTAGGCACCCTGCCATCATCTGAACTGATTCACTACTTGTATTCATATATATATACATATATATATATATATTTTTTAATTGATTTCAGAAAAAGAAAGGGAGAGGGATAGAAACACCAATGATGAAAATATTGGGGATCAAGCCAGCAACCACAGCATATGACCCAACCAAGAATTGAACCGTGACCTCCTGGTTCATGGGTCAATGCTCAACCACTGGACAGGCCACTACTTGTATTCTTAAACATTCTTAAACATTCTACTCTCTGTAACTTTCCAGTTGTTTTATTTCAATACACTTCCCACCAGTCCAGATTCAAACTACCAGCTCTATTCCAATAGTTTTTCCTTTTCCTCCTAGCTTGGGGTTCATAAACCATTCAATCACTCTCTATTACCTTTACCATCAATATAGTTCCTCCTCCTTTTTCTCACAAAACCACAATATTAGATAAATGCAATCACTGACTCTACTGTAATATCCAAATTAAATGCAATTGGGAATTTGGTATTTACTTCCAACATTACCTGTCCAAATGACAACACATCCATACAATCTTCAAGTCTCAATTTAGATGGTTAATTCCTGTGATGCTTTCCCTACCTATTCTCAACACCATCAGATGCTCTATCTCAGGGGTGGGCAAACTTTTTGACTCGAGGGCCACAATGGGTTCTTAAACTGGACCGGAGGGCCGGAACAAAAGCATGGATGGAGTGTTTGTGTGAACTAATATAAATTCAAAGTAAACATCATTACATAAAAGGGTACGGTCGTTTTTTTTTTAGTTTTATTCATTTCAAACGGGCCATAGTTTGCCCACGGCTGCTCTATCTCCTCTGCCCCTTTTTACATATCCCCATCATAGCAAGTATATTACATTATTGGTATACCTGTCTTCCTGATAGTTCAAAGGCAAATATCCCACCTTATTATGCTTCTAACACATTGCTCTACCAAGTAAGCACTCAATAAATGTACTCTAAAGGTATTAATAGGTGCAGAACTTACATGTATACCCACAAACATGAAAAGTGGAAGAGGGGAGAGACTGGTAAAAAAAGAAAACCAACCCAACTTTCATGTTGTCTAATCATATATTGTTGTGGGTGCCTTAATCTTTTAATAAATTCAAATTTTAACTTAGGCTTATAAAGAAATTCTGGACCAACAAAGTTAAAAAAAATCAATCAAATACAGAAGTTAATTTGTTCACATAGATTTTTTAAAAATATATTTATTGATTTCAGAGAGGAAGGGAAAGGAAGAGAAAGAAACATCAATGATGAGAAAGAATCATTGATCGGCTGCCTCCTGCACTTCCCCTATTGGGGATCAAGCCCACAACCCAGGCATGTGCCCATGACCAGAATCGAACCCAGGACTCTTCAGTCCACAGGCCCATGCTCTATCCACTGAGCCAAACCGGCTAGGGCTGTTCACATAGATATTAATTAAAATATTAATAACAGCCTTAGCCATGTAGCTCAGTTGGTTAGCGTATCATCTCAATACACCAAAGGCTATAGGTTCGATCAGGGCACATACAAGAATCAATCAATGAATGCATATATAAGTGGAACAAGTCAATGTCTCTCTCTCTCTCTCTCTCTCTCTCTCTCTCTCTCTCTCTCTCTCTCAAATGAATAAATTAAAAAATGTATTAAGAAGCCCAGCCGGTGTGGCTTGGTGGTTGAGTGTTGGCCCATGAACCAAGAGATCACAGTTTGATTCCAGGTTAGGGCACATGCCTGGGCTTCAGGCTACATCCCCAGTAGGTGGCATACAGGAGGCAGCCCATCAATGTTTCTCTCTCAGGGATGTTTCTACCTCTGTCTCCACTTCTCTCTCTAAAATCAATGAAAGTGTATTTTAAAACATAAATACATAAAAAAATAAATGTATTAATAACACTGAATTTCTAACTTACCATGGCAACATCATCTAAAATGCTCTGAGGTGAACTATGAGCCATAACCTAAAAGAAATAAAAAATTATAATTTTGAAAAATAAATGAAAACCTATCACCAACCAAAAAAGCAAGAGAGTCAAGTAATTTTAAGATACTTTCAAACTAGTATGGGAATTTCTTGTGGATGAAGAATCTTTCTATAAATTTCTTAATTCCCCAAATCCCACTCTCTGGAATGGAAATTTGACACCATAACTTGGGCCCTTAATCTCTATAGTATCTGTCTTCTAATTCAAATCCAGTCTTACAAGTTTTAATGCTACAATAATTATAACTGTAAAGGGCAACCTAAATCTGCTACACCTAATGTTAAAATAGGGAGAAAAATAGCATTTTCTTAAATGTAATTAGTTATTAGTTATTCCTTTATAGAAATATGGTACTTCTACTGTGATGTCTTAGGGGATATTTGTAACTTACATTTTTCTAAGGTTATTGGGGGGTTTCAAGAAGATTGGGGGAGTTTAAAGAGGATATCCACCACATAGTAATCAATCAATAAATTCTAGAGGCCCAGTGCATGAAATTCATGGACAGGTGGGGATCCTAGGCCTTGCCAGGGATCAGGATCCATCGGGGCCAGGCCAACCGATTGGGGTCTGCCAGCCAGGGATAAAAACAGGGGGGGAGAGACTGTGGGAGTTTGGACATTGGCTCCAGGAGGGAGCCAGTCCTCGGCCTCCCTGGGAAAGGGGCCGCCCACGAGGCAACGGTCACCGGGCTGGGCACAGAAAGAACATACACTGGATGCCGCCATCCCGGTTCCCCGCCTCCCCTCTCCTCCTTCCCTCACTGCAATGGCCTGGTGGGGGAGGGGGGGGCCACGATGTGAGAGGTTAGCAGCTGGCCCCAAAGAGGGAGCCAACTCTTGGCCCCCCTGGGAAAGGGGCCATGTCCACCACCACCCACACCCAGTTCCCTGTCCCAGCCCAGGGTTCAAAGGCCTCAGCGGGGTCAGGAGGCAACAGTCACCGGGCCAGGCGCAAAAGGAACAAATGCCAGACACCAATCCCCGCCATCAGCACCCCCCCTCCTCCTCTTTCCCTCGCCACCATGCTGCCACCAGGGCCTGCCAGCCGAGATTGGCTGTGGGCACCTCCTGCATTAAGAGTCTGCCCCCTGGTGGTCAGTGCGCAACACAGTGACCAGCCGTTCGTCATAATGGTCACTTACACTTTTATATATATAGATTATGCTCTGACGAAAACTATTTTGCTCCTCCTCCAAAAGATGGATGACTGACAAAGAAACTGATAAGACAAGCTATAAACTATCTCCACAACACCTCAACTGTACTTCAATACCATTCTAACCATTAAGACAAGAAAGGGGTGGGGCAAGGCATTCTCAGGGGGCAGGGAGAGAGCAAAATTGGCAGCAGCCAGCAATTCCATCCTCTTTGACCCTTTGAAATGAAAGCATGCAGCCTAGGGGTCTGAAATAGGGTGGAGGGATTCATTTAATGAGCCATGAATCTCTTAACTGAAACTAAACTATCATGGACTTAACCCTATAAGATATTATATTTTCGAAAATGTCCAACATTTTAAAGTATGAAACAAATGTTGTGGACGAAGAGAGGAAAAAGACTAACCTTAGAACAAACAAAATCAACTAATGTAGCTTCTTCTTCACCTATGTATTCTATAATTTTCTTATTAATCCAAGGTCTAATTCGTCGTTCCATCAATATCTGAAAAATAAAGTACAGTTACTAAAGTAAAGAAAAATTTTATTACACTTAAAAAGAAGTCTACAAACTTGTGCTTTTTTCATAACATTACAATATAATCTTTCACACTAGGAGAGATATATGTCAAGATATATTTACTTCTAATTTATGAAGACTTCAAGTACCACCACTAATTTCCCCAATAATCTACTAAATTCTCAGCAATGTCAAGATTCCAGCTACAATTATCATCATTACTTGTCATTAATGGCATCAACTGAATTTGTATGCTATATTCAAACCACTTACGATAAAATGGTGAAATACAATTTACTACTCACAGAGTCCACAATAGACCAATCCAGGGGATAAGCAAAAAGCTCAGGTTTGGCTGTAGGGATTTTCTCAATGAGACTCTTAATGTGTTTGCGCTTTTCTTCAGTGTTTACGGTGCCTTTGGCAGCATTTTTATCATCTTCACCATAATCCAAGGGAACCAGTTTCCTTTTTCGGGGTACATCATCACTGTCTTCATCCTCAAATTTGTTAAAGACACTATCTACAGGGAGTTTCTTTCTCTTCACAGAATTAGGTTGACCAGGACTATTGGAAGCACCTATAGTAAAAACACTCTATTAGCATATGACTTTATTTTGAAATGTTACATTTTATAACCCACCATCCCCTCAAAAACAGTGCAAAATATAATTTCACAAGTCTCAGAGAAAGATCCCAACTGTAAAAAATAACTCACTACTCACAAGTGCTAGAAAATTTAACTTTTCATTTCTTCTCAGAACTCGAGGCAGCTGCAGATATAGGAGCACTAGTAGAACTATGAAAACAATAGTGAGCTAGAAAGGCATTTTTGAATTTTTTCTATCTACCTACCAAGCAGCACATACTTATTTTTCCTTAAGGCAAAATTCAGGAGTTTGCAGAGGGAAAAATAAAGACAAAGGAAATAAATGCTAACATACCCAGTTTAAGACTCAGTCCTATTTTTGGCCTATGCTCCTCAGGTTGTTGTTGATCTGGCGAATTTTCATGAGGAATAATAATACCACAGGGAGACTCATCCCCAGGAGTGTTGGGGGTTGCATTGCCACTGGCAGAGGAAACAGATGGGGCAGAACTGATGGGCCTCAGAGTTGGTTTAAGACAGGGCTTCTGCTCTGGCTCTTCTTCCTCTTCAACGGGTTCCTCTCGTTTTTCTTCTTTTTCTTGCTTTTCTTCTTCCTCTTCCTCTGATTCTGGTTCTTGCTTTATTTGTGGTTGTCTGCGCCTCTCAGCCTCTTGTTCCATCTAAAAGAAAAAAATAATCTATCTCAGACCACAACTATACTCAATTCAACTGGCTTTTTGTTTTGTATCTATACTGAAAAAAGCATAATATGCTAATTTGACTGGATGTCCTTCCAGACAAAGCCACAGTGGGGAGGGATGAAGCAGAGGTGGCAGAGACACCCCCCCAACCCCCCCAGCCCCGGCCATGGCAGCAGTGGGGGGCCAGGGCCAAGGCCCTTGCATGAATTTCGTGCATCAGGCCTCTAGTTATCTTTATAAAAATCTCTTTTATTTTCATTAGGAATAGTGAAAAACATTGCTCACTTCTATAATCAGAAAGCTAAGTAAATCTGTAAAGTAGATGAGATACTTCGAAAATTTAAAAAAAGATTTTACAAATATTATCATTCTTCAGTGGTGATATATAAAACTTCAGATTAACAAAGGTAAATACATAATGAATAGCTGGCTAATTCAAAATAAAAAGTATGTTTTTATAATTTCATTAAGGACATTATAACCAGAGTCCTGGCTGGGTGACTCAATTGGCTGGAGTGTCATCCCATACACCAAAAAGATTGCCAGTTCAATTCCTGGTCAGGGGCACATAACTAGGTTGCGGGTTGAATCCCCATTCAGGGTGGACGCAGGAGGCACCCAATTGATGTTTCTTTCTCTCTCTCTCTCTCTCTAAAAAAACAAAAACAAAAACAAAAAAAATCAATAAAAATGTGTCCTTGGGTAAAGATTAAAAAAAGAAAGATAAACTATAGCCAGAAGTTTTAGGTTTTTTTTTTTTTATAAATGTATTTTATTGATTTTTTACAGAGGAAGGGAGAGGGAGGAGAGATAGAAACATCAATGATGGGGGGAAAAGAAAGGGGAGGGGAGGGGAGGGGAGGGGAGGGGAGGGGAGGGGAGGGGAGGGGAGGGGAGGGGAGGGGAAGGGAGGGGAGGGGAGGGGAGGGGAGGGGAGGGGAGGAACATCAATGATGAGAGAGAACCACTGACTGGCTGCCTCCTGCACAACCTCTATTGGGGATTGAGCCCACAACCCAGGCATGGGCCCTGACCGGGAATCCAACCATGACCTCCTGGCACTCAATCTAGAGCCACATCAGCCGGGTCACAATTATTTCTTCTTTCTAGTTAATGACTAAGGGTAGTAGCCACTTATGAATTCACAAACAAAAGAAACAGAGCAATGGAAAGAATTTAGGACTCTTAAGGCCTATAACAATATGAACATTCCCTCTGAAATTATGAAAGATAATAAAAAATAATCATGAGAGCCCTGGCCGGCTTGGCTTGGTGGATAGAGCCTCAGCCTGGGGACTGAAGGGTCCCGGGTTTGATTCCGGCCAGGGGCACATGCCTGGGTTGCGGGCTCGATCCCCAGTGGGGAGCGTGCAGGAGGCAGCCTATCGGTGATTCTCTCTCATCATTGATGTTTCTATCTCTCTCTCCTCCCTTCCTCTCTGAAATCAATAAAGAAATACATAAAAAATAAAAATAAAAAATAATCATGAGAGCATTACAAACTTTTGGATGAACAGATCAATATTTTAAGCATGAAACAAAAATAGAAAATAAAAATGTATCTAAGAAAACATTAAAATTCAAATTCATTGGTGGACACAGAATTAAAAAATAAAATCATCACAACCTAAATGTTACAAGATTAACAATATGCCACAATAGTGAAAGTATAAAAAAAGGCATAAGGGCTATAAATTGGTAAAATTCTGGGTGGAAGATTACACCTGATTTAAAAGCACCAGAAAACAGCATGTAAATGATAATCCCACTTATAACACTTATGTCTGAGTGGAGTATATGTGACCTGTGTGGTAACATTTAAAAAGTACTCATTTATAATGATTATAAATGGCTAATAGAAATCAGGTGGTCTTTAATCTCATTATTGTGTTCTATGTTGTCTAAGCTTTCTATTTACTCATATAAGCACTTTATCAACAGAAAAAAAGAACACTATTTCATTTTGAAAAATAAAAGGGACATGTAAGACATAGTTTCCGTTAATAAATAACATGCAACAGATTTTAAAAACTTTGTATGACACACTCTATTCCTAATAAGCATGGGGTATGCCATGTCTTATGACAGTCTTTTCCTTTTAAATGACAAACTGTTAATAAAAAAAAAAATTTTTATTTTGGAAACAAAATATTTAGGGTGATAGTGACAGAAGAAACTTAAACCACAAAAGCACACTGTAAAAAGAGGTTTCTAGCTAAGTGTCATTAAAAGACACTCATTTAACATAATATTTCATAGAAATAAATGAATAAAACATCTTAAAGATTTTTAGAATGAATATTTGTGCAATAATAGAAAGAAAAAGTAGTAATAACCTCCCCAAAATAACAAGACTCATGGTGCCTAAAAGTACATTCCCTTATAAACTAAACCACATCATAGTCGGCTTAAGATGACATGCTACCAATTGTCACCCCAACAAATTTAATAAAATAAAAATTTTTTTAAAAAGGCCCAGCCAGCATAGCTTAGTGGTTGAGCATCAACCTATGAATGAGGAGATCATGGTTCAATTCCCAGACAGAGCACATGCCTGGGTTGCAGGCTCAATCCCCAGTGTGGGGAATGCAAGAGGCAGCCAATCAATGATTCTCTCTCATCACTGATATATCTGCCTCCCTCTCCTTCCTCTCTGAAATCAATAAAAACATATTTTTTTTAAAAAGATGACTTCATGATCTTAAAATATTGTTATGTGATAGTAACTCACCCTCTGAAGCTCTGCATCTGGATCCGGATGCCCTTCTGCCAGAAGTCGCTGCCTGATTTCCTCTAGCTCTTCCTTCTCTCTTTTCCTATCCCGTTCATCTGCTTCCATTTCCTTTTCCCTGTCACGCAATCTTTTCTGAAGAGCACTTCCTCTGCAAAAGAAATCATAACAGGTCTTATTTAATACTCAGACCATCAATTATTGCACATGATGTCTCCAAAAGCACTTTCTTTCAATACTAAAACTGCATTCTAAAAGACTAAAGACACTTAATGTTCTGTATCTGCAGACATTGTGATCTCTACGTGTTACTATTTAATAAGTGAGCACTGTCTTGTCACTTATAACCATGCCTCATTGTTGTCAATCTAAATAAGTATCTAAATCAAGCAGAAAAGTAGCTTTCAGAGAACAAGAAAGTTCTCATTTTGTGCCTATTCCACAGGGAAACCCCAACATATAACCTATGTTTGCTTGGATGCTAAGCTGTGAAAAATTAACACAAGAAGTAATAATAACAGATCTGTATCTTCAATTAAATGATTTCCCTGCGGAAAAAAGTACTAGTCGTAGTGCAGAATCAATAGAAAGCAGAGGTTCTCTCCATATAGCACTTTATTATAACTCAGAATGTTGAAATTATACACTGCTATTTTATGATTCAAAAATTTCACTTTTATGCATTTTCCAAAAAATCAAATTCTTGAAATTCTATTTAATTTGCTAATTCTGATGTTTTAGCGCCTGAATATTAAGCTTACCTACATATTAAATGCCTTTACTACATGCCTGGATCATGTGAGGCACATGAGAGATTTTTCAAAAATAAAAATATTGACCCCTATCTTCAGGGAAATTATAGTCTGGAGTACACGGAGCCAAACAAAACCAATTTTACCACCATGCCATAAGTACTAGAATGAAAGTAGTTCAGACACGCTGTGGAAAACAAAGAGAAGAGGGAAGGCAAAGGATTCACCAACTCTCACTTCACAATAATATATTAATTGGTTGGGAGAGGAGGATGGAAGGGTAGTTCAGATTACTGTGTGGCATTATTTAAATCCTTGAAGAAAATAATTTCTAGACCACTCCAGACAGTCATAAAGATCAATTATAACTTGCTATAAAAATTGAACCTCTTGCCGAGACCGGTTTGGCTCAGTGGATAGAGCGTCGGCCTGCGGACTGAAAGGTCCCGGGTTCGATTCCGGTCGGGGGCATGTACCTGGGTTGCGAGCATATCCCCAGTGGGGGATGTGCAGGAGGCAGCTGGTCGATGTTTCTCTCTATCGATGTTTCTAACTCTCTATCTCTCTCCCTTCCTCTCTGTAAAAAATCAATAAAATATATTAAAAAAAAAAAAATGAACCTCTTTAAAATACATGAAGAAAAATTTGTAATACTATATTATCCTCCTCCCCGCCCCCCGCCAAAGACACATAGAAATGTCAATCCTTTGCCAACAGTGCTTTCTCCCACTGCCCAAACACCCCCTCCAGAATAGCGTATCAGCTATGGGTGTGCTTACAAGAGGGAATATAAAGATTTTGTTCTTTATTCCGCTGAGTGAACTTGCACTCCCTGGTAGACAAGGGGAAAATATACCTAATGAAATGCTAAAGTATGAGTTCATAAAACAAGGCTTCTTTACCTGTAATATTTGGGATCATCTCTATCATCATCATAATCTTCTAAGAATTCTTTTAGTCGTTTAGCTTCTTTTGCCTAGAAAGGATAGAGTGTGCAAAATTAACATAAAAGTCATTTAAGTTACACCCTCCCCCTTTCTTGGGAACAGATTTTCTTATCCATACCATTTGAACTTTGTAATTCTCATATACTTCATATGTTAAATGTAAATAACAGTATATATCTTTTGTCTTTTACTCATAAGACAAGTCAGAATTAGGACTTATCTATAAAATAAAAACCACAGATAGTATGCTATAATAAATTTGTTCCCTGAATATAATCTTCAAAGTACAGTAATTAACTTCTAATTAATGAAACCTAAGCATATCAGTAAACAAAACTGAAAGTTATCTTACTGAATTTGTTAACTGAACAAAAATATTTTACACATTTTCATTTGTAAATGATACTATAAGTAGTTTTTGTGAAATGCAGGATTAAAAATTTAAATCATGTTCATGCATCAATTCAAAGGTAATGCCTATCTCACTTTGAGTACACAAACGTCTTATTCCTACTTTTGGAATTTCAAATATACAACAAATATTATATTTAATAGCAGTTAAACCTAACAATTACATATGTATACATATATAATCTACATTATTTTATCAACTACAAAGCAGCATAACGGTAGGTTTCTGACTGCAGTAAAATTTTAACCACTTCATCCAGTTCAAATGTTACCTCTCTATAAAGACTTCCCCAATCTAATCATTTATCCATGACCAGCTCCTCCCCCAGTCTCTCTCTGTACTCCAAAAATACTGTGAGCACACCTTTACCATCTTAAACACTCTCACACATGCTATAGTAAGTACCTTATCTCCCTGACAATATTACCCACTTATTTAAAAATTAGAAGCATTGTTTATTCTTGTATGCCCAGTACTTTAGCACAAGGCTGGGATATAATGTACACTCAAAATTTGTCAAATGAATAAAAGTACATTATCAAGTAGCAATGACAATACAAATATCTAAATAAAACACAGGAGGGCCCACAAGGTAAATACTAAAACAAGCATAAGTTATCACTCCATAAGAGCGCAGAAACTTCCACTTTTTACATCCGATATTTCTGTTACTGGAACATTTTTATAATAAGCAAATAACTGCTAAGTTTCCAAATAAAAAATTAATAGGAAATGTTTTTCTAGAAAGATAGGTTTCAGATTTGCTTATAGGAAGCAAAAGTCACTTTAAACCTATTCCACAATTATTTCTTCAAATAATTATGTCTTTTACTATATTATTCTCTTCCTACTTTCTAACCTAGGGATAAAAAAGAAATTCTAGAACGGGAGCTACAATCCAGGGAAATACGAAGTATTTTAAATAATTCTATGACATTAGTGGATGTACTATTTAGAACACCCATACTATCTAGCTAGTTGCTGCATGCACCCTTTTGGTTACTTACAAAAATTCCCTCTATGTCTCATGTTCAAAACTATTTGAAGAAGATTCCTAACTTCAGTGAAGTTTTTGGAAGAATAATCTCCAAACTGGAGATAAAGAAACTTTCATGAAATTCTGGCAAAGACAGAACACATGGAACATACTACTGAAGCAAATACTATGATAAAATATATTTTTGACATTTTACTTAGTAACAACCTAAACCAATTGTTCACTGTTACAGTTCATCAAACAAAGCAAATGTGAAAAAAAAGACGTATTTTTTATGATTACGTATTATATAGTCAAAAGAATAAATAGTAACCGAAGGAAAACCTATAATCCATAAATGTTATATAAAGACAATTTTGACTTATAAAACCAGAAGTCTTCTCAGGACACTCTCATCCATCCCAATGTACCAACCAATACAGAATATCAAAGCTTCTTCTTCAAATTCAAAAATGTTGCAGATTCTTAATCAGAGAACGTTCTATAAATTCTCATTTTATGTATTACTCTATGACAGATTTACTTTGAAAGAATGCCAAAAGATAATTTGCTATAGATAACAAAAATGTGAAAAATAGAAGGGAAAAAAGATTTTGGTGTACTGAAAGTGTCTCAAGGTTATTTGAAATATATAAAAATAATAATATGCTGGGAACTTGTACAATTTAATTATAAAGTTATTTCTAGTTAACAGAAAAGATTTGACCTCATTTATACCTGAAAATCACTTATTTTTAACCTAGATTATTACCATTTCTCTTCTCCTTTCCTCTTCTCTTTCAGCCTCTTTCTCATACTCCCGGGTTTTCTTCCGTTCTCTGATTTCCCAATTCTTAAGGCGCTAAAAACGAAATTGTCAGAGCTTTAAAAATATACACAGGGCTCTAAAATTTTTGCATAAGCTACTAAGTACCCAACTTTACCAATATAAGCATTTCCTCAATTTACCTCTTGATAAGCAGCTTCTTTCTCCCGGAGTTTTCTTTCAAGTTTTCTTCGTTCATACGCATCTTCTTCATCCTCTTCTCGATCCCTCTTCTTGTCCTTTTCTCTTTCTCGCTCCCGTTCCCTTTCACGCTCTCTTTCTCGTTCACGCTCTCTTTCTCGTTCACGTTCTCTCTCTCTCTCTCTTTCCCGCTCCCGCTCCCTTTCACGATCTCTGCTCTTTTCTCTGCATAAAAAAAAAGATTTTTAAAATTGTCATTCTTTTTGTTTTCCTTTAAAAACCAAGGTAGAGAACAACATAGATTATGAAATAGACAAGCCAGAATTGAGCATTTCATTTCTTCAAAACTGTACACTCCTCTATATTCATCAGAGGTACAGAATATAATTCTAGCCCCAAATTCTGAATTCAGTGTTAATGGATATTGGTATCTCAGAAAATAAACCAAGAAACCCTGGAAATAACAAATACAAAGGGCTTCCCTAGCTGATTTGGCTCAGTGGATAGACTGTCAGTCTGCAGGCTGAGGGTTCTGGGTTCAATTCTGGTCAAGAGCACATGCCCGGGTTGTAGCCTCAATCTCTAATAGGTGGCATGCCGGAGGCAGGAGATCAATGATTCTCTCTTATCATTGATGTTTCTCTCTCCTTCTCCCTTCCTCTCTGAAATCAATAAAAATATATTTTTTAAAAAAGAAAAGAAAAATACAAAAGGCTAATGAACATATTAAAAAATAGTTTATTTCACTAGTGGTCAAGGAATGAAGGTGATAAAGGGTGCGGAGAAAAGAGCATTTTGTCATGTTACACGGATAAATTACAACTATAGGAGCAATGAAAAGTTCTCAAATATTTAATTTGAAACAATAAAACCAAATTGCAGTATATGATACAATGCCATGAATCTAAATACAAATATATAGTATATATGAAACAATATACTGTTTTGTAGTATAAGTATAAAGACCCTATTTTATATATGTAAAATTCTCAATAATAGTCAAAAGGATACTGGTTATTCCAGGGGAGATGGAAAAGAAGAATTTTAATGCCCACTAAAGATTAAGAGCACTAAACTTCCAGTTCCAGTAACTGATTAACTGACTTAAAGGGAACCTCCCTTCAGCTACAATCAGATGGAAAATCTGCAAGTCAAAAATGTGTATTTGAAAACTAGCTTGAAAAAAAAAAAAAGGTGTGCTTTTCTCTCTTCTCTCCTTCTACTCTCCCTTTTCCTCTTCCTTCCTTTGCTCATTTTTGCTCCCTCATTCCTAAAGAATTTGAGATCAATCAACTGAAATCAATATAATTAAGAAAAATTTCTAAATAAAACAGAAAGATGAGATTACTAGGACTTATAAGAGAGTAAATCTAGAGTTTGGGAGGTGAGTTATGGGCATGCAGTGGGCTAGAGGACCAAATCGACACCATTGGCTAAAACTAGAACTGACTTCCCAGTATAATGGACCTCAATGAAACGGTGACTAGAAGAAAAAGGCCACCGGCCCAAAAAGACAACAGAATTCTGTCTGCCCAGGGCATTGGATAGACAGTTGATATGTTCTGGGTCTGTAAAAACTGGCTTAAGACAGAAAGTAATCCTAAAATTAAAATTGTTATTTTCACCAATGTTTTACATATGTTATACAGCAAGCCAGGCATGCTCTGTGGCTAAAGAAGTCCTCATCACATAAATGTTAAGTCGTCCTACAGAGTGCTAACCTGCAGTTCAATTAAAGCTATCACGAAAACAATAACTTCTATAAAGCCTTACCTTGATCGACTCCGATCCTTATTCCGATCTGAACTCCTTTCCCGATCGCGGTCACGATCTCTCTCTCGATCACGATCCCGATCTCTCTCCTTTGTCCGGTCACGATCCCTATCCCGTTCTCGTTCCCGCTCCCGTTCCTTCTCCTTTTCTCGTTCACGTTCTCTTTCCCTTTCTCGTTCTCGTTCTCGCCTTTCTCGTTCCCTTTCACGCTCCCTCTCTCTTTCTCTCCGTTCTTTCTCAATTTCCTGTCTTTCTTTTTCTTTTTTGCCTTTCTCTTCTTCCAGTTTCTAGAAACCAATAAAAGTACTTTTAGAGTTAATCTGTAGTTCCAGTATTCAGATTTTTCCCAGTACAATGCCCAATATTAACAACAACAATAAAAAAAAAACCACTGGTACTTTGCTATTAAATATTTGTGGTTTTAGTTGACAAATTAAATTGAAGCAATCACAGGACTAGATAGATTTCGTGCAAAACCATATACTCTACACAGACCAGGAATCTCCAATCTTGGATGCTGGGAGATTGTGTCAAGTGTGGCTAGCCACTCAATGATTATATAACTAAAATGATCATGAAGAATGTGTTGGTTCATAGAGTTCTAAAAAGACAATCAGTTAGCAAAAATGTGATTCTTCCCATTATAAATTTCTGTAAATCAGTGGGATTATGGATACTAATTTCAAACCACGACTTCCCACTACCTAAAGGTTGTGATTTAGGGTTTTAAAAAGGAGGTGGAGAAGAAGAGTCAGGTCACTGTAACGCAACTAAATAGTATGTCTTCTAGTATGCCCACCCTCCAAAAGGCAAGGTAAATTCAACCAAGATCTGCCTCACTATCTGTGGAAACATTTACTCCCACCATTACAAGATGGACAGCCCACCAAATTCAAGTTTGAAAAATCACTCACTTCAAGCAAAAATTTTAACTTAACTGTAAAAGCAACATATTTGTGCCCATTATGCCTATAAGACAATAAAAATATATCAACAGTGATAAATCCATCCTGGGAAGGAATGATTGTGTATTAACTTACAGATGCTGTGTTAGGACATGGATCGCCAACACTGGATTAACCTTGCCTACAAGCTATGTTTCTGGGAGGAAGAGCAAGTACATGGTTCACAAATAAACCAAATTAACAAAGTCAGACCAAGTTTGTACCCTCACAAGATTACCAGTGCACCACACGGTTTCTATACAAACTCAGAAGAAGAAGAAATACCCCAAACAGGAAAAACAAAACAAAAACAACACATTTATCTCTTTGGTTCCATGTTTAGAGTCACTGAAATGAAATTTAAACTGTAACAATAAAATGTTCATTTTTTCTTTTCTCAGTCATGTAAAGCATTTAAAACAACTTTAAAAAGCGATCTTACCTTTTATACTCTTTTTCTCTTGCTCATGGATCAGAGAACTGATAGGATTATGAAAGAAAAGCTAATGCATGAAAAATCAATATATTCAGATGCTGTGCCAGTCTGTACCAAAGTAGAATGCAGGCAAGCTAATACTGAATACATTGAGATTACAAAGGAAAGAGAAAAAGAAATGGTAGAAAGAGGACAGAAACTAAAGGCTATTTAAAGGGGCAATTCTAATTTTTCAAACAGTTCTAATGAATTACAAAAATTTAAATTGTAAAATGAGGCTAGACTACATAACACTTACCTCAGTGTCATACACTTATAAAGAAATTTGTTTATTTCTGAGATAAATACTTACAGACTTTAGCTGTTCCAATAATTTCTTTTGTAGAATTCCTCAAATTTTTTACTCTTGTTTATTCACTGCACTACTTATTTCTTAGGTGTATAGTTTCACTTATATAAGTAATAATTTGTTTCAGAACTCATTCAAAGTTTTTGTTCTAAGTAAATGAAAAAGTGAGTGAATCTGGTCCATACTAAATGCATTTCTAAAAGATTATATATGTGGTAAATAGATACAAACACATATATGTATTTTAAGACAAAGACTGAAAAAAGAGGAAATGGAGACTAAAATGGTATGAGTAATGAAATAATGAAAAAGAATAGAAAGAAATCATAAATCTTACCTTATTCTCTCTTCAGACTCGTCCGTGCTGTAAATGGACGCCCCCTGCCACGTTGATACCCTGACAGTCTGTGGTTATTTAGTAAACTCATACCAAAACATGCAAAGGTTCACTGAGCTCATTTTTTGTTACTCAATTTTTAAACATTTCCTTTAACCATCCACCCAATAACAAGAACAGTTTTTCATTTTGACCTTTTTATTAAAGCACATTTTGGAAATTCAAAACATTCCCCCGCCCACCCTACAGTGAAATAAGTCTAAGGAAGTCAAATGCCTGACAGCTTCTCAAACTCTGAAGCAAATATCTTGAAATAATTTTTTAAAAACACGATTCTGTCATACTTTACCAATGACATGACCGGGTTTAACAAATAACAAAAAGGGGGTAAACCACACACACAACTGTATACTGTTTTCAAGGGTACTCAGACTCTGAGTTTGAAAATAAACATAACCAAAAGTATTCCTCTAAAATGATTTCCCACAGGCTATCCCTTTAACTAAAAATTAAGCTGAGGGAACTGCATTTGTACTTTTATTCATATTTAATTCCTGAAAAAGCACTGTGTATGTGAACTAGGGTTGGGCATGGATAATAAGTGTTCAGCAGCATTAATTCAATGGCATTAATTGTCAACTTGGAATTTTAAAAGCAGTAAGAAAAAATAAGATTAAATAAAAGAAAAAATAAATTCAACTTTTCACTGAGTTAAAAGTCACTCAGTCTTATGTGGAAGAACCAGTAATACCTTACTATCTTTAACATCAAAATATATTTCATGCAGTGTTTGCATTTTACTGTCCAAAAGCATCAACTTCAACATCAGCGAACATTCACAGATGCACTGTCATTGAGAGAAGCTTTCAATAGGCAAAACTCGTGAGATTTACTACACACAAATACCCATTTCCAAGCCAGTTACCCCTTTGCATATTTTTCTGAGGGGGCATCCATAAATATAATAAAAAACAGAAGCTCATACTTACATCCTATTCCTTGTTACTTTCCAAGCTGAGTGTTTCATCTTGCATTAGTCACCATATGATCTCTATCATAATGGTGGGGGTCAATGAATAGATTAGCTTTATGGGCATTTACAGTTCTTCCATGCATCTAAAATTTGGTAAGTCTGGTAATCACTGACCTACTTTTTAAAATCTCCCCCTCTCAAATTATATCTACACAAATATAAATATTAATTTTTAACCTCAGCTCTAAAGAAAAGGTTTTCCTAAGATTAAGTTAAATAAATGCCCCCAGAAATACACTACAGTGTATGTTATCCTGTCCCCTTGAATCTAGTTTAAATCTGACCTTGATGTTTATGTTGAAACCTAAAAATAAAATTAGCTTTTATTCATATTAAAGTGAGATGACTGCAGAGTAGTCAGTAACTAAAAAAAAAAAAAAAATTTAAATATAATATGTCAAGGTCCACTTTAATATGATATTGGTCTTGTTTGTTTCTATCTAAATATCAATTAAACCTATAAAAAGCATTTAAATTTATATCCTAATGTAAGGTTGATTTTTTTTGTCTGTTCGCTTTGGATTCTGTAAAAAGTCTAGATTGATATCAAGTGAAAAAAACAAGAATACTACCTTGTGTGTATCTCTGAATTTGCTGATCTCTCGGGATATCAGGTCTCTTTTGTCTTCTTCCATTTCTATAGCATTTATATCTTCCTAAAAGACAGGGGACAGGAGGGAATGCATAAAGATCAATCTAATAAAAAGCAAAGGTTAGATATTCTGTACAAGTCTTACAAAAGATAAAATAAATAAAAAGAACTTATATAGTAACAAATGTAATGATTTAAGTTAGTGAAAATTCTGGTAGGCAAGAATTACAAATCTGACAATCAGCAGTGAACATATTTATTGTCAAAGCCTTCAATGTAAACAAACCTTAGTGATGAGTGGATACGGGATCAGAGGTGCCACTGGAAATCTGCGGAAAATCTGCAAAACAATCCACAAAGATTTTTTTTTAAAAAACACAAGAGTTCACATTAACCTGCAAAACAATGCTATTTTATACTATAAGCAATGCTTCTGGGACATTTTCTTGATTTCAAATTACTTGATAATAAAAATATTTCACTCACTCTCAGTCTATAACCTCTCCCATCACCTACTCTCCCTCCAACTTCCCTAAGCAACAGAATAAGGAGGGTCTCATACTAGTGGGCTTTTTTCTTGACCCAGATATAGGAAACAATCATACCAATAAAATGTATCCATAATTCCTGCCGTAGAGCAGGATTTCTTTGATCCACTGTTCCCAATCCATATCCAACATATATGTCTAGTTACTTTCTCCTTTCCCATTAACCTCAATTACCCTGTACCTGACTAACTCTACCAATTATCATTCCCAACTATCGGCATTTCACCAGACAGGTATTTATGACCATGTGAGGAAGAATGAGACAAGTAATAAAAATGTATTTGGCCACAAACAAAATTGAAGCTGGCCTAATAAGGAAATGAAATCCTAAATGATATGAACCTTGATATTAAATTATATGTTCCATGTTACTTTTTCACGTATATGCAATCCATGCATATAAAATAATTCTGATATTTTTAAAGAACACTCCCCATAATTTCTCTTAGTTTATTCGAAAGAAATTAGTATAAGAAAGCCAAACATTTTCTTTCAACCTGGACTCCCTAACGTTCAGTTAGCTTGGTCAGACAGAGTGGTTATAATATTAATACACTGCAGAAGAGTGTGTTATCTTGTGCTGTTCTTTCACAGTCTTCCAGCTAGAATTTGAACAGCATTACTGTCCATGGAGGGGAATGAGACGTGGTTATAAGGAGACACAGCTAAAAATTAAAGAATGGGTAAAAATCTTCAGTGAAGGATACCGGTATCCTGCTTGGAGCAGAGACTGAACGATAATTAGGTAAAACAAGGCCAGTCCTTCATAGCCAAAAACATTTTACTATAACCCTTAATATAAATACCTACAATTTATCACTGAAGGTGGTTTTTGTCTTACTGAATTTGAATCCACAGCTAAGTACAAGCTTCAATGCCAGTATATTTTAAACACAGTAAACAGAAATGTTTTGGTAAAAATATTAGGAGTTAATTGGTAGAACAGGTCAAATTAGGCTTAACAGTACAATTATTGTAAATGCTAGTCATTCTTCTATTTTCCCCTCAAAAGTTAAAATGTACTGAAAGCACATGAGTGACACCATAAAAAGTAAATTGTAGAAATGACTGTTGTCAGAATTTAATAACACATACGTCCTCCTTCTTTTCCTTCTTCTTCTTCCTGGGGTGAGAGTCAGATTCTTGTGAAGGGGCATTGAGCTCACTGGAGTATTCACGTATTAAAATTTCAATGGCCCCTTTGATCATCTGATCTCTTCTCTTAGTTTCTTCATCTAAGGCTTCTTCGTCATCATTAGTGACAGTTTCTGGCCTAGCAGTCTTAAAACAGAAAACAAGGCAAATTCAGGAGGGGGGTTGGGGAGAATTAACCGAGAAAAATGAAAAACATTCTAAGAGCACACAAAACAAACATGTTTTCTTCAAAAAAATCTATGTAGTTTGCCTGGGCGGTGTGGCTCAGTGATTGAGCAACGACCCATAAACCAGGATGTTGCCAGTATGATTCCTGGTCAGGGCACATGCCCAGGTTGTACGTTTGATCCCCAGTAGGGGGCATGCAGGAGGCAGCCAATGGATAATTCTTTCTCATCATTGATGTTTCCCTCTCTCCCTCTCTGCAATCAATACAAATATTTTTTAATTAAAAAATCACACATCTCTGAGGTTCTCTTAAATGCAGACCTGATTTTGCTCTTAGCTTTATAAAATAAACTTTCATCATTTCTTTCCCTTTCTACCCTTGGTAGCTAATATTTTGACCCCTACCCAGCTATAGGAAGATTAAATCATAGGACTAACATACTGCACAAAACATCTGCCAAGCTTTCTCCCAATTTTTCAGACTGTCTTGCTTAATACTTGCACAAACTAAGAATATTTCCTAACTCAACAGTTGAAAATGTAATTATGTGAAAAAAGCAAAACATAATTTTATGTACACTATGCTAGCCACTATTTAAAATCAAAAAGCACATACAGGTGAAAGGAACAAAAAGCACTAAGACAGTTTTGTACAATTAAATGCAAGCATCACACAGGTCAGAGGTGAAACAATGGCTTCTTTTCCCCCCACCCCTGCTCTCTAAAATGTCTATAATGTGGGAATGCCACTTATAAAAATCATATACTGCCCAGCTGGTGTGGCTCAGCAGTTGAGCATCGACCTAGGAACCAAGAGGTCAATTCCCAGCCAGAGCACATGCCCAGGTTGCAGGCTCGATCCCCAGTGTGGGGTGTGCCAGAGGTAGCCCATCGATGATGTTCTTCTCTCATCGATGTTTCTCTCTCCACAGTCCTTTCCTTTCCTCTCTCTAAAAATTAATTTAAAAATATTTTTAAGAAAAAATCACATACATACTAAGAAAAAAATCAACTGTAAATACTGCACAAGTCTTTATTCCCATGACTTGCAAACGTAACATTTAAAAAAAACAACACAAAACTCATGTTGTAATGCTTCTCACAGATAAGCAACTATTTGTAAAACTTTATTATTTTTTAAAAGAAGTCTAGATTGTTACGTGTTGATGTGAAAACAATTACTGGCTTCACAAGAATAGGTCCAGAGACAAATGGGGGAGGAGGGGTGGTGTTAGAGAGCAACCCAAAGACTTGTATGAATGCATATTAGCTTATCTAATCAACACAGGCACTGAGGCGGTGGGGGCTTGCCTAGGGTGGGAATGGTTGGGGCGGGGGGGGGTCAATTGGGGAAAAAGAAGACAAATGTAAAACTTTAGACAATTAAAAAAAAATTATTGGCTTCTACTGTGGTACTATTATTATTATCGTTTCTAGGTTTTATTTCAAATCTCCCAGTTAAGGAATTAATCCAGTTCAAAACACAAAATTTAGAGACTGACCTCAAAACATTGGATAATTTTCCATTTCTCTCAATTCCTCTCTTCTTAAAGCTTAAAATGGTAAAGAAGTGTGAAAAAACGCAACAAAATAAGCTCTTTTCAGAAAAATGTAAGAGCTTCAGTAATAAAGCTACTGGCTGTAAAGCTGGGAAACAGCCCTGCTAGGCCTCTCTGGCTCCGACTTCTAGAATCCGAAAGAACAACTTGTTTGGGCAAACGCAGAGCTCTTTCTTTGGAGGAAATGTGGGTTTGGCCAGACTGACAGGCAAAGATGTGAAGATGTTCCTACCTACAGCATCGATCAATTAAAGTGTAACGTAAGTGTCTCCTTCCAGAGATTATCTGTACTTTCAACACTTGTCAGAATTCATTCTTGAACATGAACAACCACTAACTGTGACATTCAAGCAGATAGTTCTACCTCTATTGCTGAATAGCCAAAAAGCAACAGGACATGGATGAACATGGCTACTTCAAATGAACTAATTTTTACTAAAAGTGAAAGAATTGCTTATACAAATTCTGAAAAATCTAAATGAAAGCTTTCAATCAAGCCATTAGACAAGACACATAAATCCTGTTAAAATTATGGTCAGAAAAATCTCTTTCTAGATGAGCTTGTGGTGTTTTGTGATTTCTTTTAGTCAAAGAGAACTACCCAACTAACTGTGTTTTTCCCCTTTCTGCCTGGGAGCCAGAAAAAAAACCTGAATAAAGTAACACACAAGTTTCTCAAAGTCTTATTCTCCTATCATCCACCTTAAGCCACTATTTTCTAAATTTCTCCAAGAAATCAATAAAGGAGTAAAAACAAGTAACCTCTCATATTTTATCTTGGAAAATCATGACAAATCTGCAATCTACTCCACAGTATAGTTATACCTGCCTAAGTTACTTTAAAAAAATTTTTTCTGCCGAAACCGGTTTGGCTCAGTGGATAGAGCATCGGCCTGCGGACTGAAAGGTCCCAGGTTCGATTCCGGTCAAGGGCATGTACCTGGGTTGCGGGCATATCCCCAGGAGGAGATGTGCAGGAGGCAGCTGATCGATGTTTCTCTCTCATCGATGTTTCTAACTCTCTATCCCTCTCCCTTCCTCTCTGTAGAAAATCAATAAAATATATTTAAAAAAAAAATTTTCTGACAATTGCTTAACATTTTTTAAATCCCCATTGTTGAGGAAAACTTACATTCTAGAAAAATAATGTACTTTGTCATATGACTTCAAACACCTGGGCACCATGCCAAGTATACATAGGAGTCATGCCTATTAATTTTTTAAAATTTCAATTTATCTGAAAAAATTGTTTTTATTGGAGGTGGCTTTATTTCCATTCTTGAAGAAAGATATACCCAAATTAAAATTGTGTTTGCTCTGGCTAATGGTGATTTACAAGTTAAATGAGTCACAAAAAATCGTGCATTTCCTTATTCACTAAATGCTTATTCCGTTTTTGCTATGGGCAAGACATTATACTAGGTTCTGGGGAGGTACAAGATAAAGGGACACACTCTGTGAAGTTACTGCCCTTTCTATCTTGTAATCAGAGAATGGAGGAGGATAGAAGAATGAAACTGGGTATAAGAGGCAGTGAGAGGCAAAGAAATACAAACAATATGTACTACAAAGCAGACTGACTTTAACAGCAGAACAAAACTGCTTGATATAGGAAGAGAAAATTTAATTCTGCCTGAGAGGAATCAAGGGTTAGATATGATGAAGCAAGTAACATTTTAATTACACTATGTGAATGGGCAACAAGGACTTGAGATGTCAGCAAAGCACAACTTAAGTTCGTATGGATACATGACTGAATGGAAGGGGATGAATGGGAGACACTAGAAAGGTAAACTGCAGCAAACAGTAAGAAACTCAAAACCATTAAGGATGGATGAGCAGGGAGTAGGCATACTTATAATTACGTTTTGGAAATATAGCCAGTACTGTAAACAGTCAGATGAGAGGAAACTAAATGCAGAGAAATAAGTTAAATTATTAAAAGTCCAAGGAAGCATGGGAAAAAAGCTAATTACAAAACAATACTTTAAAATTCAATCATGTATTTATGAAGGAAAAATACACATTTTCCAATCAAAACTATATTCATACACCCAGAAAACTGTCTGGAAAAACATGGAACCAAAATGTCTACATGCCCAGAAGGCATGGCTCAGTGATTGAGTGTAGACCTATGAACCAGGAGGTCACGGTTTGATTTCCCATCAGGACACATGCCCGGGTTGCGAGCTTGATCCCCCGGTATGGGGCATGCAGGAGGCAGCCAATTGATGATTCTCTCTCATCAATGATGTTTCCACCTCTCCCCTTTCCTTCTTCTCTGAAATCAATACAAGTATATTTTTAAAAAACAAACCAAAAAACAAAATCTCTACAGTGGTTACCAAAGGTGATGGGATTATATGGGTGATAATTTCTTTTTTATAGTTTGCTTTAATTGATGAATCTTTTTTACAAAGAATATACAAGAAAGCTATTTCTATTTTAAATAATAAAAGTTTGAAGAGAACAAAAGGCTGTTTTGTTTTTGTAAACAGAAAAATAATAAATCTATATTGGATCTGGTCTGCTTGAGGTGCCAAAAGGAAGTAGGAAGAAAGGAATAACAAAGAAACACAAACTCAGATTTTAGCTATTTTTTGCTCTGTTGAGATAGTAATGTATACATTACAATATATAAAAGTTCCTTTTCTTTAGGTTAGCTTTATATAGCCACCCACCTGAGGAAAATAAGACTTATTTTCAGTATTTTAGAACCTGTATACTTCTAAAAGAGAGGGCAACTAATAAAAATTGTGTAGGTTGAAATATATTTTGTACTTACTTACAAAGCTGCCTTAATGAATTAGCTCTGTTTGGAATAGTCTGTACCAATGTTTTCTCTGGCAAGTTAACCTTGTCCAGCCTCCCTTACTACTTTCATCCCAACCTGGAACAAGCAAACCAACAGTCATCCACCCTCAATGGGTAGATAAAAGACTTAAAATAACTATAAACTATAAAATACCCTCCTGCATGTTAGTAGTCACAGGCATGATGGGATTGTAAAGCCCCATATTAGATTCACTTATAATAAGTATTTACACTGAAAGAGCACATTTGGTCTAGAGAAGATAACACTATGGAAAACATACCCCATTAGAAGCTTTCTTCTTTGCTTTCCATTCATCCAGTTGTGCCTTTGTCTTTGCATCAACTTTAACAAGCAGTTTCTTCTCTCCAATCTGCAGGTCATGCAATAACCTGAGTGCACGGAGGGTAGATTCAGGCTCCTTATACTCACAGAATCCAAAGGCTAGCAATAGATGTAAAGAATTAGTAAAATATCACTATAATACTGATAGATGAAGAGTATTTATGAAAAGTTAAAATCATTAAGAGATCAAATATTATAATACAAGGATTATTCATGCTGTCACTCCACCCTTTCCTTCAATTTCCTTTGAAAAGGGTTTCACTTTTACACCCTTAACCAAAAGAACAAAAACAAAAACAGGGGAAAAAGAAAAATTCTAACCAGGCAAACTACTACTTATTAGAAGTGCTGATAATATAGTTAACAAATTCAGCACATTTCATAACTGTTCATTATGTCATGAACTCATTCCATCCAGACTTCCTAACAGCTATAAATGAGAACAAGTTGTTCTCATTTATTCAACGTAAATACAACATTTTTCTGAGAAGTTAAACTATAAAAGTAACAATCTCTTATGCTGGTTATTCATCTAATTTTTTTTTGTATCTTTCATTTTAATAACTAGTCTATTATTATCATGACTTTATATCAGAGATATTAAAACAAAATTAAATTTAAAAAGAGTAACCCAGCCCTAGCTCATTTGGCTCAGTGGATAGAGCGTCTGCCTGTGGACTGAAGGGTCCCACGTGCAATTCTAGCCAAGAGCACATGCCCGGATTGTGGGCTCAATCCCCAGTGGAGGGCATGCAGGAGGCAGCAGGTCGATGATTCTCTCTCATCATTGATGTTTCTATCTTTCTCTCCCTCTCCTTTCCTCTCTGAAATCAATAAAAATATATTAAAAAATAATAAAAATTTTAAAAAATAAAGAGTAACCTAAAAATTGGAAGTAAAATTAAACAAGTAAATCCAAACATTTACATAAGTTAATGACGTAACCATACAGAAAGAAACTATTCTGAGTGAACCTAAAACAGTAAATTTAACCATACATTTTTAGTGTGACATACCCTAAGGACGTCTAAAATTACTGTAAGTGAAAAGTGAGGTGAAACAAGCCAGTAATTATTTAATGATCTCAATAAATAAAGAAAAAAGAACCTACCTTGAAGTTTTCCAGATGCACCTTGTACTCTCTTCCAGCTTAAAACCAAGCCACATTTCTTAAAAAGGAAAAAAAAAATGTTACCACTTAACAAAATTAACTTATAATGCAAATAAGAGCACAACTCTATTATTAGACTAAGAAAAAAATAGAAGCAAAAAAATATATTAGCAACTAAGTTTCTTAAAATTCTCAGTTCCTACAAATCTATTATATGAAATATATAACAAATTATTTCAAAGAAAAATATAAATTCTTACTGATTCTTATTTGCAGAAAATTGTTTTAATAAATTAGAAATTTTAAAGCATTATTTATCCTACAAATATATATCAATGCCCAAGTTATAATAGTCAAAACTATAGTAAATTCAATTAAATTCATAAAGATTTTGTTTTAAAATACGTGTATATATTAAAAAGTTTTAGTGACATGCGAAAGTGCTTGATATGGGATGCAAAACATGGGACATGAAATTGCAGATATACAGTAAGATTTTAATTATGAAAAAAACAAAATGAATTTTCACAAAATGATCAGAAATATTCCAAAATGTTAAGGGGCAGGTTGTGTGACTTTATTACAACTTTTTTCCCTTTTCAATTTTAAAACATTATTTCTAATTATTAAAAAACAAGTAGGTTTAAAAAAATTACTTCTAGAAAATACCTGGTTTGCCTGTCAAAGCTAATGTAAATGTTTCACATCTCCCTTCAGAGAAACCACTAAAATATTTTTTCTGTTTTTATAATCAAATAATATAAAAGGTAAAAACACTTGAAGTCTAACACTGCATGAGAAACAGCAGCAAAATTCAACAAAATTTTAAACAAAATGATGGATGGTAACTCATCCTATAGAGCAGCGGTTCTCAACCTGTGGGTCGCGACCCCTTTGGGGGTTGAACAACCCTTTCACAGGGGTCGCCTAAGACCATCGGAAAACACATATATAATTACATATTGTTTTTGTGATTAATCACTATGCTTTAATTATGTTCAATTTGTAACAATGAAATTGGGGGTCACCACAACATGAGGAACTGTATTAAAGGGTCGCGGCATTAGGAAGGTTGAGAACCACTGCTATAGAGCAAAGAAAGCTATCACTCCAAGTGTCTACAGAGGCAGATACTGGTGAAAAAGAAAGGCTATACAAAGCCAAGTAGATCTAGAGGTCATCAAAAAGGGGGAGAGGGTGGCCCTGGCTGTGTAACTCAGTTGGGTAGAGCACCATCCAAATATGCTAAGGTTGCACGTTCCATCTCCAGTCAGGGCACATACAAGAAACCATCAGTGAATGTATAAATAAGTAGAACAAGAAATCGATGTTTCTGCCTCTCTCTCTCAATAAAAAAATAAAAATGAGGTAGAGTGGAAAATGGGGTTGAAGCATGAAGCTGAATAAAAACAGGTGCTTGCCTAACAATATAACTACAGCATAATTAAAGTCAAAGTTCTTCTCAAGTAACTACCTTAGTCCCCACCCCCAGAAAGCAGGAAGAGTTTAGTCTGAAGAAGGTGAACACACAAGCTTGTGATATGAAGCACCAGATATGAATGAAAGTTTGGATAAGGTATCGAGTGGGTAACAAGGAAAAAAGGTAAAAGTATGAGAAATGCTTGGAAAAAGAAAAAAAAAGAAATGTTTGAGCCTGGCCTGTGTGACTCAGTGGTTGGTCATCAACCTATGACAGAGGTCACGGTTTGATTCCTGGGCAGGGCACATGCCTGGGTTGTGGGCTGGATCCCAGTGGGGGATGTGCAGGAAGCAGCTGATCAATGATTCTCATCATTGATATTTCTATCTCTCTCTCCCTTCCTTTCTGAAATCAATAAAAATATATTTAAAAAAGGAATGCTTAAAATTAGCCCTTCAACCCCAACCCATATACTCATGAGGCATGAACCAAATTTTCTAGAGAAAATAACCAGCCTCAAAGAAAAAAACCTCCACGTATGAATATTTAATACAGCTGGGTGTTGGTTAGATTGCTTAAAATAATGTCTAACATTTTACAAACCCAGTACAAAAAAGCCTTTTAATCCCTAACTCTTTTTTTTAAAATATATTTTATTGATTTTTTACAGAGAGGAAGGGAGAGAGAGAGTTAGAAACATCGATCAGCTGCCTCCTGCACACCTCCTACTGGGGATGTGCCCGCAACCAAGGTACATGCCCTTGACCGGAATCAAACCTGGGACCTTTCAGTCTGCAGGCTGACGCTCTATCCACTGAGCCAAACCGGTTACGGCTTAATCCCTAACTCTTAAACATGACAAACAATCTAGGATCACCAGACATTTAAGGGAACACCTAAAAGTGGAAGAGAAATAAAAGGCAGAAAAGAGATCAATTTAGGAATCCAAAGAAAGCTTAAAAACAAAGCACTCTGTTGCACATATAAATCAAGAACAAGTTTTTTAAAGGGATATTTCAAACTGAAAAAATATACACATCTCCATACAAAAATTTGTACACAAATATTCTTAGTACCAGTATTCATAGTAACCAAAAAGTGGAAACAAACTAATTGTAAATTAACTGATGAATGAGTGAACAAAATATGGTAGAGCCATTAAATGGAACACTATCAGGCCATAAAAGGGAATGAAATACCAATCTATCTACATAAAAGGCTAATCCTCAGGTATGTTGGAGAGCCATTCCTACAGTGCAACGATTTTTGCCTTTTGCCGTAAGTCGGAGCCCACCTACATAAGCACCTATGTCACTCACATGGAGCACATACACAGCAGTAATGAAGTGAAATAGTAAAAAAATTTTAAAGATAACAATCCCTGACCTTTACTTGTGGTAAAAACAGTAAATAATAAGAAACATAAAGCACATATGTACATACGTCGAAATGACAGAACGTTGTTTTTTTTTACAAATAAATGGGAGATGGCGATGCAATGTAACCACGAAACGAGGAACATCAAGTCCAATGTAAACGAGGACTGTCTGTATGCTAAGTGTCCTTCCCACCTTCCGACAGGTCGCTATGACACATACTAACCACCAAGGGGCAGACTCTCCATGCAGGAGCTGCCGTGATGTGCACAGAGAAATGGCACAGTGGACCTGGCACCCACAAAGCAACACTCAGCTTTCCCGCCACCATCTTGGAGCATGAGCCCACCAAATTGCAGCCTACGCTGCCAAGACCCCATAGTGCAAAATGCAGCCCACAGCCCAGCCCAGCCCAGAAACGGTGGCTGTGGGTGCTGGGCAATAACGTCACGTAGCAACGCCCGGCTTCTTCTCCCTAGCGACTAGCCTCCTTGCGGTTTCTTCAGCCCAGGAATACAACTTGCTTCATAGCCAGGTGGAAAAATTTTACACTTTAACCAAATGTCTGTGAAGCGTTTTCCCGTGCCTCATTTCATTTGATCCTCATCACAGAAGCCCTGGAGTAGGTAGACAGGAGACTCGGTGGAATCCTATTTTCTTTTCATTAGCCGGAAAACTGAGATTTAGAAAGCTTAGAAACTTGACCCGACTGAAAAGAAGAAAGGAATGGTGGACCTTGAAAATGACTTCAGGTTTTCTCACTGCGCAGAATATAGTCAAACACTGCTGCAGTTAAATATTTTACCCTTTGTTCTCCCTGTGTGATCTACAATAATAATCTGCTTCGTGTTGATATTTACTACTATGTTGGTGACAATTACCTGAAAGAGAAGTTGGGGTGCTTCGCTGGGCTGGAAAAAGTTTAGCTAAATCAGAAAGCAGGTCTAACTAAGCAAGTTTATTCTTTATATATAAAAGGCTAAGTTGACTTGCCCAAGCACAATAAAGCTCTTACTGGCATGCATGTGTTTCGATCTGCTATTGTCGATCGTCAATTTGGTTCACACTCTATTATAGAAAAAGAGTGAATAGTGATATTAAACTATTTCTTCTAATTAATTTCCTTTCAATGTGCACGAATTCATGCACCAGGCCACAAGTACAAACTATAATATATATGTACCTTGAAAACATTATGCTAACTGAAGTTAAAAAGGTCACATATTTATAATTGTTATATAAAATGCCCAGAATAGGCAAAACCTTAGAGACATAAAGTAGAATAGTGGTTGCCAAGGGCTACAGAGAGAAAAGAATGGGGAGTGACTGTTAATGGTTACAGGGTTTTCTACTTAGAGTGGTGAAAATGCTCTGGAATTAGTAGTGGTATTTGTGCCACTTTCTGAATATACTAAAAATACTGAATTATGGTACATAAATTATATCACAATGAAGATTTTTTGAAAATGTCTTTGCAATGTTCCACTTTTGGAAAAATTAGCATCATCTTGTTAAAGTGAAGATAAGCATGCCCTACCACAGAAATTCCACTTCTAAAAGAAAACATGATGCCGTAACCGGTTTGGCTCAGTGTATAGAGCGTCGGCCTGCGGACTGAAGGGTCCCAGGTTCGATTCCGGTCAAGGGCATGTGCCTTGGTTGCGGGCACATCCCCGGTGGGGAATGTGCAGGAGGCAGCTGATCGATGTTTCTCTCTCATGGATGTTTCTAGCTCTCTATCCCGCTTCCTTCCTCTCTGTAAAAAAAATCAATAAAATGTATTTAAAAAAAAAAAAAAGAAAGAATGATATAAATGTATTGAGATTCACCTCTGAAGAGGTGATATTACTAGTTATAATATCACAAAACACAAAAAACGGGACCAATCCATGTGACCATCAGTAGAAAATTGACAATTTATGGTGTATTTCTACAATGCAATAACATACAGAAGTTGAAAGTAAATAGAACTACACGTTAGGTGAAAAAAGCAAATTGTGAAGGAATACAGAAATAAAACTAGTGCCCTGGCTGAGAAGCTTGATTGGTTAGAGTGTCGTCCCAAGATGCCAAGGTTTCAAGTTCAATCCCTGCTCAGGGCACATATAAGAATCAAACAATGAATGCATAAATAAGTGGAACAACAAATCGATGTTTCTCTCTCTCTCTCTCTCTCTCTCTCAAATCAATAAATTAAAATATATGTGTGTGTGTGTGTGTGTATACATATATAACCGCAAGCAATCAATCACACAAATTCAAGGGTGAGGGGTGGGTAAGAGATCAACCGAAGGATTTGTATGCATGCATATAAGCATAACCAATGGACCCAAGACAATGGGGGGGGGGGGGCCGCAAAGGAAGGTCAACGGGGGGGGGGGGGGGGGGAGGAAAAAAAGAGACATATGTACTACTATTTGTAATACTTTAAACAATAATAATAAAAAAAACTCTTCAAAAACATCAATGAGCCGAAACCGGTTTGGCTCAGTGGATAGAGCGTCGGCCTGCAGACTGAAGGGTCCCAGGTTCGATTCCGGTCAAGGGCATGTACCTGGGTTGCGGGCACATCCCCAGTAGGAGATGTGCAGGAGGCAGCTGATCGATGATTCTCTCTCATCGATGTTTCTAACTCTCTATCTCTCTCCCTTCCTCTCTGTAAAAAATCAATAAAATATATTAAAAACATCAATGAGCCCTAGCTGGTTTGGCTCAGTGGATAGCGGGTCAGCCTGTGGACTGAAGGGTCCCAGGTTCGATTCCAGTCAAGAGCATGTGCCTGGGTTGCGGGCTCAATCTCCAGCAGGGGGCCTGCAAGAGGCAGCCAATCAATAATTCTCTCTCATTACTGATGTTTCTATCTCTCCCTCCCTCTCTGAAATCTATATATATAGTCAATGTCATAAGACAAAGAAAACAAGCAAACCAAAATAAAAAAAAGGTGGGGAGAAGGGAACTATAACTTATAAATAAAATTTATTAAAGAAGCTGTCTAACAAGGTGTGACAATTAAATGTGATATACAATCCTTGACTGGACCATAGGTCAAAAACAAAAACATGCTATTTTAGAAATTATAGAGAAAATTAAATTTTAAAAATAGAGCATGCATGTAAGCATAGCCAATGAACATAAGACACTGGGGGGTAGGGAGGCCGGGGGGAAGGTCAAGGGGGGAAAAAAAAGGGAGACATATGTACCATTCTTTGTGATATTTTAAGCAATTCCGGTCAAGGGCATGTACCTTGGTTGTGGGCACATTCCCAGTAGGGGGTGTGCAGGAGGCAGCTGATCAATGTTTCTAACTTTCTATCCCTCTCCCTTCCTCTCTGTAAGAAATCAATAAAATATAATAAAAAAAAGAAGACTTGCCGAAACCGGTTTGGCTCAGTGGATAGAGCGTCGGCCTGCGGACTGAAAGGTCCCAGGTTTGATTCCGGTCAAGGGCATGTACCTGGGTTGCGGGCACATCCCCAGTAGGGGGTGTGCAGGAGGCGGCTGATTGATGTTTCTCTCTCATCGATGTTTCTAACTCTCTATCTCTCTCCCTTCCTCTCTGTAAAAAATCAATAAAATATTAAAAAAAAAAAAAAAAAAAGAAGACTTGACACTTTAAAAAAAAAAAATGCGTTAAGCTGGTCCAAAAAAAAAAAAAAAAGAAATTAAGAAAAAGATCTAGTCCTTGTCAGTTTGGCTAGGGTCCCAGGTTCGATTCCAGTTAAAGGCACATACCTTGGTTGCAGGAGGCAACCAATGGTTCGATGTGTTTCTCTCACATTGGTGTTTCTCTGTCTTTCCCTCTCTCTTCCAACTCTCCCAAAAAATTAATTGAAAAAAATCCTCAGATGAGGATTAACAAACAAATAAATATAACTTATAAATAAAATTTATTTAAAAAAGAAAAAGATCTATGTATATTAGTTAACAATACTGTATCGTCCTTAAATTTCTTAAATGCAATAATGATTTTGTGATCATATAGGAGAATGTCTTTGGTCTCAGGAAACACAAGAAGTATTCAGAGATGAAATGTCTTATCACAACTTACTCTCAAATTACTCAAAAAAGGTATGTAGCGTGTGTGTATATAAAGAGAGTAAATGTAGCAATATGTTACAAGGGTAATCACTGTACTGTTTGTTCAACAGTATTGCTGGATTAAAAATTTTCAAAATAAAACAAAGACAAATTCAGAGTCCTCTTTCTGCTTTTTGTTTAAAATTTATAACAAAAATAAACCTTTTAAATGAAAAATAAACAGTTTAACTTACAGCAAGGAGCTGTCTTATGAGCATGTCTGAGGCTTTCTCAGAAATGTTGCCAACAAAAACAGTAGTAGTAGGACCACAATTTTCATCATTTTCCTTTGCCTTTAAGCCTGGATGATCCTTTCTGGCTCCCAAATGCTTTCCAACCATGGACACAGTGGGTACTAAGACCTAGAATTAAAAAAGGCAATAAAATTTGATCTGGCAATTAAACTTCCTATCATGTTTAATGTAACATTAGGCTAAAATCACCAATGTTAAATTAGTAAATACAGGGTGGGGCAAAAGTAGGTTTACAGTTGTTCGTATGGAAAATACAATAAATAAATAATAAAGCAAGAATAAACTGTTTCATGCACTTACAACTGTAAACCTACTTTTGCACCATCCTCTATGTAGCACATTAAAAGGTCTACATACTTAATCTAAAGCTCTTAGCATTTCTCATTAATACAAACATTCATGACAAGGAAAGTCCCACTTTTAGATTACCTTTCTTTAAAAACTTGGAAAAGCAAAAATAACTTGGATAAAAACTTTATGTTTAAGACATCATATATCATTTAAAATTATCAACTACATCCACAAGTTTATTCACAACTGTACTCTGTTTAGCATAAAAGTTCAATTATCCCTGCTAAACCTCTTATAAAATATTCAAATACTCCCATAGCACTCCCCCACACTTTAAATTTACCCTTTATCACTTACTTGAATTTCTAGCTTATTGTCCCTTTATTAACTTTAAAGTTCCCAAAGGAAGAAATAGTCTTACTCTTCATTTTATCTGGAAGTGAATTTAGCAAAACACCCACAATAAGCACTGAATAAATACTGGTGAACTGGGGGAGCTGCTCCAAACTCCAAATGCTATCTTTTCTTAGGCTGAAATGTAAGAAAGTAAGAGTACCTATCATGTGGAAGCTTTCCAAAATGACCAAACATTGGTGCCTAATGCAAGAAAAGCTGGACTCCCCCCCTAGTATGCAGAACCTATCTTCTTAGTGGTCTGCCTCACAGCAGATTCCTATTTGTCCACCTACTTCACATCTCCCTTTTAATGTGAATAACACCACTCCCCTCACTTTTCAAAACCATAAATAGAAAAACAGTTGAAAGTAACATCTAGCCTCTCTCATAGTGGAATTCCAAATGAAGCCTGATATTCTACCAATGAACTCAGAGAAATATCTGGTTAAATAATAGCTAAGAGGGTTATTATTTATTCATGTGTTATAATATATTAACATTCTTAATTAAGATGTTTTGATGAATGTGGAGAATTAAGGTTCAAGACCTAAGAATAAATAATGAAACACTTCCCTAGAGGAAAGGTTTCATTAAAACTACAAAGCTTGAAGGTATCATAGTAGAAGACACACAAAAAAATAGCTCGGAAAAGGCTAAATATTAGGTAGGTAGGAGGAAAAGAATAGAACTATATTCAACAAAAATTTCATTTCAAAACTTTTATTTCTGCTAGGATAATTCTTACACTCTTTTAAGAGATCATATATATCATATCATTCTCCTATCTCCAGAAACCAAAACATGAGGAATAATGAAAAAGACAATGTCCTAAATCTGAACTAATATGTAAATCAGTCTAGAGAATGAGAGAGAAACCATAAAACTATCTGGGGAGCAGTTTTAGGAACATATGCACAGCTGAATGAAAACGTTACTTAATCAAGTAAGTAGTATGATAGAAATGGATGCCCACATCCTTCCTACTATTCTTTTAAATGCTTAAAATAATTTATCTAAGTTTATCAAGCTTTTTAGTTTTAAAAGCACTAACATATCTAATTTCCTCAAAATTAATTATACTTACAGCCGTGGATGGGTAATTCAGCTGGTTAAAGCGTTGTCCCAATACGTTAAGGTTGCAGGGTTTGATAACCAGTCAGGGCACATACAAGAATCAACCAATGAATGCATAAATAAGTGGGAAACAAATCAATGTCTCTCTCTCTCTCTAAAATCAATCAATAAGTAAAAAATTTACTTAACAATTATACTTACAGTTGGAGCAGGAGCCATAATGCTCATTGGTACAGGAATCATTGGGGTTCCTAAGGAAAAAGCATTGCAAGTTGTAAGCACACAATTATATATGACTGTATTCTGTATCAACTACATGCCATATATACAAGTACTAGAGGCCCAGTGCACGAAATCTGTGCACGGGGAAAGGGAGGTCCTTCAGTCTGGCCTGCACCCTCTTGCAATCCGTTCACTCCTAACCGCTTGCCTGCCTGCCTCATTGCCCCTCACCCCTTTGCCTGCCTGCCTTATTGCCCCTATCCACTCTGCCTAGCTGCCTGATCACCCCTAACTGCCTCTGCCTCAGCCCCCACCACGGCTGCTTCATCCGGAAGGACATCTGGAATGACATCTGGAAGGTCGTTCGGCTGTCTGGTCTAATTAGCATATTAAGCTTTTGTTCTTATACTCACTTATAGTTAATTTAAGTAGAAATGTAGAACTAATGAGATACTGAACATCTTAGTTTCAAAAGCAATGTGGTATCAGGTCAATCTATACAAGTTTACCTACAACAAAAAACTACTCTTAAAGTAACAAGGCTACCAGAACATGCTTTTGACTTAAGGAGTATAAAATTCTGAATAGTTACTGATTCATGTTCATCTTATTCAGTACACCCGCAAAACCTGCACTATCACAAATACAGATTCATTTATGTATTAACAATATTAATTAATCCTTTAAAAGTAAAAAACAGCCCTAGCCAGTTTTGCTCAGCAGTTAGAGCATCAGCCCTTGGACTGAAGGGTCACGGGTTCAATTCCAGCCAAGGGTAAGTACCCTGGTTTCAGGCTCCATGCCTTTCCCTCAGTCAGGGAAGGTGTGGGAGGCAACCAAGTGATGTGTGTCTCTTTCACATCGATGTTTCTGTCTATCCACCTCCCTCCTGCTCTCTCTAAAAAAAAAAAAATCAATGGGAAAAATATCCTCAAGGGATGATTAACAAGAAAAAAGTAAAACACAAATCCTTTCACATTTTTTTTCCTTTAAGTATCAAATGATAAATTCTCTGAAAACCTAGGAAGAATCTTGTTATACCTGGTTCTTTAATAAAAACAAAAAGTGGCCTGGCCGGCGTGACACAGTGCTTGAGCATTGACCTTTGAACCAGGAGGTCACAGTCTGATTCCCGTTCAGGACACATGCCCAGGTTGCAGGCTTGATCCCCAGTGTGGGGCGTGCAGGAGGCAGCCAATCAATGAGTCTCTCTCATCATTGATGTTTCTACTTTTCTCCCTCTCCCTTCTTGTCTGAAATCAATACAAATATATTAAAAAAAAAAAAAAATTGGCCCTGGCTGGGTGGCTCTGTTGGTTGGAGCATTGTCCCTTACACCCAAAGGTTGGAATTCCAATTCCCAGTCAGGGCAGATACATAGGGGAGGCAAACAATTGGTGTTTTTCTCTCTCTTACACTCTCTCTAAAAATCAACTAAAAGTAATGGAGGGGCAAAATAGTATCTATCCTATATAATAAAAGCCTAATATGCTAAGTGTCCGGTCATCCATTCAAAAAAATCAAAGAATATGCTAATGATATGCTAAGGCTGTTCAACTGCTCGCTATGATGTGCACTGACCAGCAGGGGGCAGATGCTCTGACCAGTAGGTCAGCTTGCTGCTGGGGTATGGACCATTGGGACTGAGTGAGAAGAGCCGGACACACCCTGGAGCCTTCCCGCGGTCCCTCCCAAACTGGCCAACCTACCTTGTCCCTCCCTGACGCCAATCGTGCACCAGTGGGGTCCCTCGGCCTGGCCTACGCCCTCTCACAATCCAGGACCCCTCAAGGGATGTTGGAGAGCTAGTTTTGGCCTGATCCTGCAGGCCAGGCCTCTAGTATATATAAAAGGCTAATATGCAAAGTGTCCCCTCGGGAGTTCTCTCACTCGCTATGACATGCGCTGACCACCAAGGGGCGGCGCAGAACATGGCAGGTGACCAGCGACAGCAGCAGGGCACTGAGAGAGCAAGGGAAAGAGGCAGCTGGGGGAATCGCTCGGTGGCGGTGTGAGGGTGGCAAGGGAAGGGAGAGGCAGGGAACGTGATCAGCCCTGATCAGCCCTGATCACTGGCCAGGCCTAGGGACTCTACCCGTGCATGACTTTCGTGCACCGGGCCTCTAGTATATAGAATAATACTCTATATCTGTGTTAAAAGAAAAAGTACTAACGGAGCCCTGGCCAGATATCTCTGTTGGTTGGTTAGAGCATCGTCCTAAAATGCCAAGGTTGCATGTTCCATTCCTGGGTAGGGCACATACATGAATCAACCAATGAATGCATAAATAAGTGGAACAACAAGTCAATGTTTCTCTCTCCCTCTCTTATATATAAAAAAAAATCAATTAAAAAACCCCACTGGTGAATAAAATAATATAGTTACGTGGCTTATAATATGCATTAGAAAATATCTGGATGGACAAAGAAAAAACTAAAAATAATTCTGTGGGAATGTAATAAAATTTTTTCACTGTGTATTTTTTCTTTTTTTTTTTTAAATATGGAACGCTTCACGAATTTGCGTGTCATCCTTGCGCAGGGGCCATGCTAATCTTCTCTGTATCGTTCCAATTTTAGTATATGTGCTGCCGAAGCAAGCACTATTTTTTCATTTTTGAACCTCATGAGCTATCTATTTTTTTACGTAACTTTTTTAAAAAATGTCCCAAATGAGTTTATACTCAGTCAGATATGAAAACTTCTGCCATAGGAAAATGAGACATCACATTTCCAGAATGATATTAACAGACAGCTTTACTACTAACAGTCACACACATATCTTCCTAAAAGTAAATACTACAAAAGTATAGGCTAAAACAACTACAGTACTCACAAAATTACCTGGAGGTACAGGTGGAGGAAAGCCAGGAAACTGTGGTGGTGGAATCCCTGGTGGGAGTGCTGGGATTCCCATGGGAGGGCGATTCAAATGAGGGGGGAAAGACATTCTTACTGCAGATGTCTAAAAAAGAAATCATGACAAATCATTTTATTTGAAAACTTTACAATTCAATATGCCTGGTTTGTTGGCCTTCATTTTTAGAGTATCTGCAAAATTCTAAAGTTTTCTTACCCAAAGAAGTTGGCAAAGACCCTCTTTTCTCTGTCTGTCCATTGAGAATTTTTAAAATTTAGATCTTTTCTAAAATAAGTTCCCAAAATGTACACGATCTAAGTTCAGGATAGACTCCTACAATCATATGGGAATACATATAAAGGAAGAAAAAAATTTTGAGGTTCAGTTAATATCCAAAATTAAATACGAAATATCAATGAATCTTTTTAAACCAAACTCAGAATCCAGGAAGGTTTCTAACAGTTATTTTTTTAAAAGTGTTCTGATACATTCATTTTTAATACATATCAGCACCTTTCTGAAAACTAATTTACAAAGTTACACAGTATTTATTGATTCAGTGTTGGCCAGTTCCTCAAGTACAAATGACTGTCTCACTGAACTATAAACCTGGGGGTAGGAGACATCTTAACATCAGGTCACATAGTAATCACTCAAATACAGAGAACCGCCCTGGTCTTTGTGGCTCAGTTGGTTAAAGCACTGTCCCGATATGCCAAGGCTGTAGGTTCAATCCCCAGTCAGGGCATATACAAGAAGCAACCAATGAATGCATCAATAAGTGAAACAAATCAATGTTTCTCTCTCCCCTCCCCATTCCTCTAAGAATCAATTAATTTAAAAATAGAAAAAATTTAAAAACAGCCCTAGCCGATTTGCTCAGTGGATAGAGCGTCAGCCTATGAACTGAAGGGTCCCGGGTTCAATTCCAATCAAGGGCACATGCCTGGGTTATGGGCTCGATCCCCAGTAGGGGGTGTGCAGGAGGCAGCCAACCAATGATTCTCTCCCATCATTGATGTTTCTCTCTTTTTCCTTCTTCCTTCCTCTCTGAAATCAATAAAAATATATTTTAATAAATAAATAGTAAGTAGGTATCAGTATAAATTAAAAAGGGGAAATGCCAACTAATTTTACTATGTCTTATATTTTTAAATAATCCTTTATATTTTTGCCCAAAAATAAAAACAAATACTCTATAAGAAAAAATATATCTCCTTTTAAAACAGAGACAGCTACTGTCCTACTTACAGAAGCTCTTGTATTATAATACTCTATCTCAGCACTTTTCTTAGGAGGACAGTTGGTATTAATACCTGTTGAATAAATGAATGAATGAGTAAACAAATTAACTCTGAGGTTTTCATTAAACAAATCTATTAAGAAGCTCCCATGTGCCAGGTACTATGCTAGCCTTACAATAATTATAAATGGAATAAATATCCTTAGGTGAGAATTAACAAAACAAAAAAAAAGAATTAAAAAAATTTCATCAGACTACACGTTTAATTTTAGTATATGCCAATATATCCATTCCATGCACTTCTAATTTTTCTATGAAATATTTCCCTTTTACTTCACACTGTTCAAAACTTGCTTATTCATAGGTTGAACTTCAAAGGTTGAGGCAATCTTATTAAGACAATAGCCCTTCCATGACATTCAGAACACAAACATTTCTGGTAACGTCTAGATAAATATTATTCACTTTCAAACATCCTAAAATGGGAGTCTCAACCACTTATTTCAACATAAATTTTTATATATTTTGATATGTGAAAATGATTGAGGAAAAACTTTTAAAACCATAAGCAAAGCTAATCAGATTTTACCTAAAATTGAGCAATTGTAATACTCTTATAATAAATTACATAGATATTCAAAGTTGATACTTTGTAGAATGAAGTTGGAAAGAGAGTTAGGGAGTACTTTATTTTATTTTTATTGATTTCAGAGAGGAAGGGAGAGGGGGAGAGAGAGAAACATCGATGAGAGAATCACTGATCAGCTGCCTCCTGCACACCCTACACTGGGGATCAAGCCTGCAACCCGGGCATATGCCTTGACTGGGAATCGAACAGGTGACCTCTAGGTTCCTGGGTCGATGCTCAACCGCTGAGCTACATCCTGGGCGTGCTTTATTTTAAATACAGCGAGTGGTCAGAAGATGACAATTGGACAAAGACTTGAATGGGCGGAAGTAGGAAGCCCTATTTAACATTTAGGGACAATAGCCCCAGCCCCAGTTGCTCAGTTGTTTGGAGCAACTCCCGGAACACCAAAAAGGTTTCAGTTTGATTCCCAGTGGTCAGGGTACATACTGGAGGCAATCAATGTTACTCTCTAAAGTCAATAAATATATTCTCAGGTGAGGATTAAAAAAAAAAAAAATTTTTTTAATCTGGGGCAATAATCTTCCAAACAAAGAAAATACAAAAAGCCAGCGGTGGGAGGAATAGCAAGGCCAACAGCTGGAGTGCAGTGTGCAAGGAAAGTCAGACAAATGTAAAATGTTACTGGGGGAGGGGCTTCAGAGAGTACAGGGCTTTGTAGGCCACCGTAAAGAATTTGGTTTTTCCTCTAAATAAGGATTTCTTATTTGGCTTATTTTACCAGTGTTCCTGGTCACTATGTTAAGACTGAAAAACAAGGGTCAAAGCAAAACACGACTTCAATAATCCAGAGAAGAGGGGGCCCTGGAACAAGTGGTACAGTGAAAGTGGCAACAAGTTGCTAGATTCTAGATTTATTATGAAGCTCGCCAACTGCTAAGGGGAATGTGTGTGGGATTTAAGAAAAGGAGAGATGGAGAGGTTATTTTTATTAGCACTGAAAAAAATTTAAATAGTATTTTAAAAATACCTGAATAGGAGTTCTTCACTTTTAGAAGAGTCAAAGCATTTTAACCAGATAAGTAAAAAATTAACAAAAACATACAGTGTTATGCACTTATCAAAATTCACTGAAATTAAAATGGGTGCATTTTATTACATGTAAATTTTATCTCAATAAATTTGATATTACCCCCACCCCCAAAAACCAAACTTCTAAATAAGATTTATCTCTACCACTCTACATATGCATGCACTTCTGCTTTTCTTTTCCACTTTACTCTTTCAAACCAGTCTTTTTTCCCTGCACTCCTGAGAATACCATCGCTGCTTATATGCATTCCTCCATTGCAGATTTATCCTGATAGGAACAAAATATTTTACCAGGGATAGACTTACAGGCGCTAACCCCATCACGACACTGCCAAATTTCTGAAATCGTGAAAGGCAAACGAACCAATAGACTCTCCTCAGCAAGTAATCCTATACAACTACATTCACTCAATAAATATATATGTGCCCGGTTCTTTTCCAAGTATTATTTTTATTAGTTCTGAAAGAGCAAATTTAAGTTATATAGTTAAACACCAAGTAGTGGTTCTACACTGACTATAAAAGATTAGTGCCGCATGCACTGTTTCCTGCTCTGCTTATAACCTGGCAAGATACAATGGACTGACATACCTCCCCAGCCTAAGCAAAGCAAGACCCTCAGAACATCATTTCTCAAATTGAATTTCCACAGACTTGCTGGAGTCTTCAGAAACTATTTCTAGGAAAAAAGTGTTCCCTGTCCAAAAAAGAATGGGAAAGGCTTAACCACAAGTTTCTTTTATAAGAAAGCTTTTCATAACGTTATCGAAGTGTTTTGAGTCTCCCAAAAGGGAGCTGATAATTAATTTTCTGAGATTTCCACTTTGCCATTTTACCATTTTCAATGATAAAGGTAGTGATAGTCTGGAGTGGAGTGGGAACGGAAGTGACTTGTAAACAGCAAAGAGGAATCCGTTGGGGTAATGGTTACACAATTCAGTGCATTTGCTAAAAATCATTGAATTGTAAGTTTACAATGACTGAATTTTATGCAATTACACTTAAATAAAGCTGCTTTTAAAAAAAGCAATACCAATTCAGGACAATTTCAAGCAAAATCCAATTAAGACCTGTGGATTAGATAATACTGTAGCAATATTAATTTCCTGACTTTGACCATTGTACTGTTGTTAAATAAGAGAATGTCCCTGCTTTTAGGAAATACACATTTTGTGGTTAAGGAACACCACGCATGCAACTTACAAGTAAACATTTCAGAAGAAAACTGGAGAAAAAGGGGAAAGGATAAAGCAAATTGGCCAGGTGATTTAGGTAATATGGGTGAAAGGTATTTGAGAATTCTTTGTACTATTCTAACTTATTTAAAGGTTGAAATTATGTCAAAATAAAGTTTATAAAAAGCATTATCACTATTCTGGTTAGTGGGAATATCATATTTTCTTATTTTCAATTTTCAAAAAAAAAGCTAGGTAAAAGCTATTCAAAAACTTTGTGAGGAATCGAAATTATTATAAATGGTAGCAGCAGTGTCAAAAGACTATCGAGAAATTTAAAAACAGAATGTTTTTGTAAAACCTTAAAAGATTCAAAGACTGCTTTTGCTTCCAATGTTATAAAATACTTAATATAAGTTTCCCTTAAATTATGTATAATTAAAAATTTTTTTTTAAATTATGTATAATTAAGTATAAAGCTCATTTATCTGGGGACAAAAATGTTGACTTTAAGTCTGAAGTAGTTACCCAACATTAAAATGGACTTATTGGACTTATTTTTAAAATATATTAAGAGCCTTAACACTGGAATAAAAATATAGCAAACACAAAATAAACGTATTCAAACTATAATTGGTATATGGTGCCTATATGCAACAGTGGGACAATAATTTTCTTCCTAACTATGTGTTCTCTACCAAAAAAAATTTTTTGAATTACACTCTGGGGACCAAAAATGGAAATTCGGTAACTCCAAGAAGATGAATTATTTAATAAAAACGTTTTTATTTACTTTCATTTACAAAAGCCTTCAACATACATTATCTCACTTAATCTCCCAAATTACCTTGTAGATATAGTCTCCTTTTACAGATGAAGACGCTAACTTGTCCAAAGGAACACAATGAGTGGGTAGGGACCCCCTCAAGGTCCCTAATATCCTGCAATTACCAATCCAGGGGCTGTTTTCACTGTGTCATAATGCCCCTTTCTAGTAACATACCAATGAGAAACTTTGCATTAAGGATTAACTTCTACTTTATAAGACTATTCACAGAAAAATAGTCTATTCACAGTACACTGGAAGAAATGTTAGAATCAGGGTTAGGCTCTTGTACTTCACTGAAAATTCTTAAATAACAATACGTACCGGTTAAAATGGACTAAACACTACGTCATTTGGGTATTGCACTAAGGATTTTACATACATTGAATGAATTTCCAATCTCAATCATCCATGAAGTGAATACTATCCTAATCCTTATTTTACAGATGAGGACAACAAAGGCTTTTAAAAGAAAGGTTAAAATTTGTAATAGTGTAGCATCTACGTATTAAATCACGAGCAACTGATAACCAACTGAACGGCCTTTCTAGGCTTCTGAACGTTGGCGGGAACAAATCTTAAAAATTGAAGTACCCAAGACAAACGTGGAAGTTGTGTAGACACTGCTGTCAACTACCTAAGGCACAGCACTTCACACTACAGCAGTCCGGTGCAAGAGAGGTCCAATCTCTTCCCTCCTTTCGGTCCGCTCCACTCTGCCCGGGAGCAACATGGCTTTTCCAGGGCCATACAAATCCACATTACATAACTGCAAAATAATCTTCATCCTCCCAGATCTAGTTCGAAAAACGTATTTAAGAAGTAGTACTGAAGACCAAAGAAGGGTGAGAAAGAAGTCACACATTTTAATGTGCAAGCGTGGTCATCGCCTAGACAGAATGAATGGAGGTACAGCTCACGGCAACCTCCACTGGAGGAAAGGGGGCAGGACCACAACACTCATCTCAATCTTAGACAAGCAAACGAGGAGGGCGCTTTAAAAAAAGAAAGAAAGCGGGCATTGACTACATTCGGGGGCACGGAGGTAGGTGGGCAGGTCACACGGGGGCGGGCTCTCGGTGACCCGAGGGGGAGGGAGAGAGATCCGTTGGTAGCCGGCACCTCTCTGAAAAGGGTGGATGCTGGCTGGCTTCTCGGCCGAGCCTAGGCCAAGGGAGTCCTAGGCCCGGAAATTGTACCGTAAGGCTCCGAAGGGGGCCTCCGCGAAGGGCTCCCCAGGGGCGGACCAATCGTTTTGTGGCAAACGTGGATCCCAGGAGGTGCCGACGGGACTCCCGGTGGCCATCCGTGAAAGGAAAAGGAAAAGTGGGCGACAATGCGAGGAGAAAGGCTCTGGCGGTAAGCGGGTCCGGCCTCCATGGGCTCCTGCTCGGCCCACTGGTTTCCGAGGCCTTAGAGAAGTGAGGAAACCCAGGCCTCGCGCCCCTCCCCTCCCCCACCCGGCCCCCCTCTTTCCCCTCGTCCCACCCCGGGCCCTTTCGGAGCCTCCCGGCTTTTCCTTCCTTCCTCCCCCCCCCCCCCCCCCCCGAGCCGAGGTACCCGGTTTCCACACGCGTTCAGAGGCGTGAACTCACCCGCCGCCAAGACAAGGGGACTGTCTCCGAGGCCCTCTGGGCTCCTGGTTACGGGAGACTCCACCGGTTCGAGGTTTCTGCGCGCCGCTCACCGGGAGACTGGTTCAGAGGCGACCACTCGCAAAGGCCGCAGCGCAAACACTGCCGCGCTGCGCGGGGAGCTTCTGGAGGTCTTCCTTTTGCCCGGCGTGCACTGCGGCCGAAACCGTGGAGAGAAGCACCATAGAGAAGAACGCGTATAGAGAGCCCTCACTGTCGGCGCTCAGTCACCACGCCCCGGCGAACGACCATAGAGAAGGGGCGCCTAGAAAGGCTCGAGCTGTAAATTACGACCCACCCTGCCATGTTTGATTGGAGCCGATTGAGTCTTGTGACTGCGGGACGCCATCTTGAGGTCAAGGTTCCCGCTGGACCCTGCGCGAGCGACGTTAGAGGATTTCTCACTTATTATAGTTTGTGTCGAGGATTAGATCCTTGTTTGAGGTTCGATGGGCCGACCAGTGGGCCCTCGCACAGCACCTTAAGCCCCAGGGGCTGCTCTTTCCCTAGAAAACGATGGCTTTTTATTCCAACACCATTTCTCGCCTCTATGCCCTCTTCCACCCCCACCCCACCCGGCCGAACTCGACGACTCTGGGTACCGGGAGAACTGGCCCCGGTAGGGTTCTTTTGTTTATTTGTTTTAAGTGCACACACACCTCACATAAATGCTTATGCTCACTGGGAGGGCCGGTGAGGTAACGAGATGTTGGAAATACCTCAACCGACCTGTGAAAACATTTCCCGTGGCTTTCATGCTCCAACGTAAAACAAACAAAAAACTCCGCTAACTAGATTAAGGAGAATAAGCGGATCACGCGTGATTAGATTATTCCCTGGCTGGGCTTAACGGTCAATAGCTATTGACAGGCCTTTGTTTCCCAACCGCTTGCTTCTCAGAAGGCTCATAATTTATTCAATGTGAAGTTGCTGTCTCCATAAAGGACTGTGCTGGGCTGAGTGCTAGGCGCTTGGTAAACGGGAGTAAGAAGTTTTATTTCTGTCCTGGAGGCCCTGCTAACGAGGCGGAGCCGGTGACAAGTTTTGATCACTGTATGTAAAATGGAAACGTATCTAAACAGTTCCTACTTGCGTTGTTTCCTGTTTAATTTGACTTTAGAGAACGAATCACCATCTGCTGTCTTATGTATTTTTTCTTATTCTGTGGTCTGCCCGCCCTACCCCACTAGAATGTAAACTTCAAGGCGCAGAAACGCTGTTCGTTGCTGTATTCTCAGGGCCTAGAACAAAGCCTGCATGCAGCAGGTGCTCAATAAATAATTGTCTAATAGAAGGAATTAGTACAGCCCTGGCCAGTGTGGCTCAGTGGGTTGAGAGTCACCCCATGCACCCAGGGGTCCTGGGTTCAACTCCAGGTCCAGGCACAAGCCCAGGTTTCGGGCTTAGTCCCCAGTAGGTGGGCAGGAGGCAGCCGGTCAATGTTACCCTCTCACGTCGATGTTTCTCTCTCCCTTTCCCTTCTGTCTCTCTAAAATCAATGATAAAAACATATTTTTTAAAAATGATACATGATGAGCCCTAACCGGTTTGGCTCAGTGGATAGAGCGTCGGCCTGCGGACTGAAGGGTCCCAGGTTCGATTCCGGCCAAGGGCATGTACCTGGGTTGCGGGCACATCCCCAGTAGAGGGTGTGCAGGAGGCGGCTGATCGATGTTTCGCTCTCATCGATGTTTCTAGCTCTCTATCCCTCTCTCTTCCTCTCTGTAAAAACTCAATAAAATATATTAAAATAAATAAATCGACCTTTCACTACTCCAGATATTTGTAGTGTGAATAGGAAGTCCCAAACCCTAGCCAGGCCCCTTAGGACACAGGGAGAGACTTTATAACCCAGTTAAAGCCCTAACATTGTACCAAGCACTGTTTTATTTCATATTATTTTATACTAGAGGCCCGGTGCATGGCATTCATACATGGGGGGAGGGGGGTTCCCCTCAGTCCAGTCTGCACCCTCTCCAATCCAGGACCCCTCAGGGGATGTCTGTCTGCCAGTTTAGGCCCAATCTCCCTAAACGGGCAGTCGGACATCCCTCTCACAATCTGGGACCACTGGCTCCTAATCGCTCACCTGCCTGCCGGCCTGATCACCCCTCACTGCCTCTGCGTGCCAGCCTGATCGCCCCTAACTGCCCCCCCTACCAGCCTGGTTGCCCTAACTGCCCCCTGCTGCCAGCCAGGTCGCCCCCAAATGTCCCCTCCCTGCTGGCCTGGTTGCCCCCAACTGCCCCCCCGCCAGCCTGGTCACCCCTCACAGCCCCCCAGCCAGCCTGGTCACCCCTCACAGCCCCCCCGCCAGCCTGGTCACCCCACGCAGCTGCTGTTCAGTCATTTGGACGTGCCTCACTATCCCCCCTGCTGACCTTGTCGCCCCATGCAGCCTGCTTGTTCAGTTGTTTGATCGTCCCTCACTAAGCCCCCTCCTGGCCTGGTTGTAGGCAGCCATCTTGTGAGGGTGTGAAGGTTAATTTGCATATTATCTCTTTATTATATAGGATATTTTATTGAGGCTATTTTATTGATTTTTACAGAGAGGAAGGGAGAGGGATAGAGAATTAGAAACATCGATAACAAACATTGATGAGCTGCCTCCTGCATAAGCCCTACTGGGGATCGAGCCTGCAACCAAGGTGATGCCCTTGACCAGAATCAAACCCAGGACCCTTCAGTCCATGGGCCAACGCTCTAGCCACTGGGCCAAACCAGTTAGGGCCCAAAGCACTATTTTAAGCATCTTACAAATATCAGCAACTTTAATTCTCACAGTAACCCACACGAAGTAGAAACTATTGTTAAACAGATAATGAAACTTAGCCCTGGCCTGTGTGTCCAATGGTTAGAGTGTTGCCCTGTGTGCAGAAGGGTGAAGGGCTCAATTCCTGGTCAAGGGCACATACTTGGATTACAAGTTCAATCCTCAGCCCCAGTCCGGGCACATGCAGAAGGCAACCAATCAATGTGTCTCTCTCATGTTGGTGTCTCTCTCTTTCTTCCTTTCTCTCTTTCTCTCTCTCTTTCCACCTTCCCCCTTCCACTCGCTCTAAAAAAAAAAAATCAATGGAAAAAATGCTCTCAGGTGAGGATGAACAAACCCAGCCAGTGTGGCTAAATGGTTGAGCATGGATTTATGAACCAGAAGGTCACAATTCGATTTCCAGTCAGGGCACATGCCTGGGTTTGGGGCTCAATCCCCAGTTTGGGGCATGCAGGAAGCAGCCAATCAATGATTCTCATCATTCATGTTTCTCTCCCTCTCCCTTCCTCTCTAAAAAAATAAAAATAAAAATAAAAACTTTTCTTTAAAGAAAAAATTTTCTTTTTGATGATAACTAATTTACCTACTTTTTCTTTACTTGTGCTTTTGGTGTCATAGTTACGATCCTGTTAACCTAATCTAAGGTGTCTTACTCTGTTTCAGCTGCTATAAAATACTATAGATTGAGTACTTATACTAGTAAATAGCAGAAATCGATTGCTAATAGTTCTGGAGGCTAGATCCAAGATCAGGGTGCCAGCATATCAGGTGAGGACCCTCTCCCAGGTCTCCAACTTACTGTATCTGCATATGGTGGAAGGGCCTAGGGAGTTCTGTGGGTCCGAATTCATGAGGGTTCCACCCTCAGGACCCAATCACCTCTCAATGGCCCCACCTACTAACACCACCTTTAGGATTTAGAACTTATTTATTTATTTTTGTTAATCCTCACCCAAGGATATTTTTCCATTGATTTTTATTTATTTATTATTTTTTTAAAATATATTTTATTGATTTTTTACAGAGAGGAAGGGAGAGAGATAGAGAGTTAGAAACATCGATCAGCTGCCTCCTGCACATCTCCTACTGGGGATATGCCCGCAACCCAGGTACATGCCCTTGACCGGAATCGAACCTGGGACCTTTCAGTCCGCAGGCGGACGCTCTATCCACTGAGCCAAACTGGTTTCGGCCCATTGATTTTTAGAGAGAGAGGAAGGGAGGGGGAGAGAGAAAGAAACACTGATGTGAGAGAGACACATCAATTGGTTGCTATTTTTTTAAAATACCTTGTTATTGATTTGAGAGAGAGATCAATGTGAAAGAGTAACATCTATCGGTTACTCTAACTGAACTTGCAAACTCACCCAAACCAGGGACCTAACCCAAAACCTGGGTATGTGCTCTGACTGGGAATCAAACTGGCGACCTTTTGGTGCGAGGGACAATACTCAACCAACTGAGCCATACTGGCCAGGGCTGGTCATTAGGATTTATACCAGGGGTGGGCAAACTTTTTGACTCGAGGGCCACAATGGGTTCTTAAACTGGACCGGAGGGCCGGAACAAAAGCATGGGTGGAGTGTTTGTGTGAACTAATATAAATTCAAAGTAAACATCATTACATAAAAGGGTACGGTCTTTTTTTTTTTTTTAGTTTTATTCATTTCAAACGGGCCGGATCCGGCCCACGGGCCGTAGTTTGCCCACAGCTGATTTATACCTATATTTTTTCTAAAAATTTTATAGTTTTGACTCTTACATTTAGGTCTTGAATTAATTTTGATATATGTTGTGATAGGTGTACAAATTCACTACTTTGTATACGAATAATCCAGTTATCCCAGCACCAGTTGTGGAAAATACTATTCTTTTCCCTATTGAATAATATTGAAACCCTTGTCAAAAGTCAATTGACAAAAAAAAAAAAAAAAAAATCAATTGACCATAGCCCTAGCCAGTCTTGCTCAGTGGATAGAGCATGGGCCCCAGGACTGACGGGTCT